CAAGTTCCCCATAGGGGGCGCGCAAGAGGCAACCACACATTGATGTTTCTGTCCCTCTCTTTCTCCCTCCCTTCCCTTCAGTCTAAAAATAAATAAAAATCTTTTTTTAAAAAAAAGGTAGTTTATATTTTATAAGGCAAATATAAACCTCCTTCTAGAGACAGAAGAGGGAATAGTGCCTACAAGTTCACTGATGTCTTAGGTTCGCCTCCTCCCAGCCACACCCACAAGAGACCGGAGTATAAATCACAGAGGTTGGAATCCACCCCCTTGTAAGGGCCGACCTAACTTAACGCAACTTCTAGGGCTGGAAGAGCAGTCCTCATGCAGGAGACAGGAAGGCAGTGGGGAGTACACCCTCAGTGGGAGAAGTGCAAGGTTTTGTTATTCACCTATTCACCAACCCCCAAGTGGAACGAGTAGCGAGAGATGGAAAGACCAACTGTCTTATCCGGAGCACTTGCAGCAGCAGAAGCACACCTCTGAAATTCAGCCAGCATTTTCCTTCTTGCCGTAGACCGATGGGCAGGGCCACGTGGACCAGAACACGAATAGTCAGGGACAAGGTGGATGCAAGTTCATGGAAGTGGAAACCTTCCTCCGTAAACCGAATGGCAGTGCCTGATGCACTTGGAGGTTGAGGGCAGAGGGTGGATGAGAATGTTTATTGCCAAGCTGGTGATCACGGGAGGGACTCAGGGAGGGGACAGTGCATGGGTCTGTGATGAAGTCCTTTTACTGGTAAACCTCTGACACTCAGTGGTTCCAAATGAGTAGTGTCTCAAGATCTTGGCCTCCCAACTACCAGCTGTCCCTGCCCTGTTATCTTAGAAGCAAAATGAGGCCCAGAGGCCTGGGGTAGCAGCCACCATCACCCATGTCGTGGTTTTTCATGAGGTCTGTTTCCCCTGGGATTGCCCGTGGCAATTTACAAGCAGCATCTATTGCCTCATTGGACGAATCATAAGCAATATCCACTCCCCCGGGATGAGCTTTTCCTTCCCCAATAAAGGCACAGGCACGCACATACACAACTGCCCAGGCTTTGCTGATTCAATCCGGGATTACAAATGCTACAAAGCATCCACCTACCTCCTCGGCCCAGCAGCACAAGAAGACATTGGAAAAAAGAGGCAACACGGATAGAACCTAAGGCAGGGTGACCAGTAGTCCCAATATGCCTGACACTGTTCCAGGAAATCCCTCAGTCCTGGGCATACAGGGACAGTCGGTCACCTGGCCTAAGCCACAGCTCAGCCTGAAGGGTTTAGCCACTCTGCCCCACATCCGGGCCTTTCCCAAGTCTGAGTCCCTCCAGCTATAACACAGAACCAGAACACTGCTGTCAGTAACTTGGTTTGAACTCCATTATCAGCTTAGCACATCTCCGTGGAAGCAGCAAAAGTATGGCAACATCAGGAATTCTACAGCACTCTTAAAGGGAACTGCACACCCCCACCAACTTCCACGGCAGCCAAGGAAGGCCCCCTGTCTGAGCTGCATCCTGCGGGTGACTATCTTCTAGCTAAGAATATTCACTGCTCCCTCTTCAGGGCATATTATCATCCTTTTTCACTGACATTAGGCTTGGCCATGTGACCTGTCAAACTCCTCCATGGAGGATTATATGTTGCACGCAGGGTGCCCACATGACTTGCTTTGACCAAAGCAATGAGAGTAGACCCTTTAAGAGCCAGGTTGAGGTTTCTTCTTGCCAGGACAGCAGCTGTGGGCCAGATGGGTGTACTGTGTCAAACTAGGTCCCAAAGTGAAAAGGTCATGGAACAGAACTGAACCTGACCGTGAGGAACACAAGTGGAAAATAAACCTTTGTCACTGTGTTACGAGATTTGGTGGTCGTTTGCTGCTGCAGCTCGACCTAACCCATCGTGATCATGTGTCTTGACGTGGCGTGTGAGCCCCGAGGGTTGCATCTTTGACTGGGAGCGGTCTGGGCACTCACTGGATTCTCTACAGACTGTCCTGGAGGGAGAAAGAGGACAGTGGGTGTATAACGCCAGGGTGGCTGTGTGGGGGGGACTCTGTGCCAGGCTCCGTCACGTGGACAACTAACTAACACAGAGCAATTTGCCCAGGGAGCCAGCTGTCTCTGGTCTCTGCGCCTGGTGCTCCTGAGGAACTATCTCAGCCAGCGAGGTGAGTGACGGGGAGCCCAGGAATGCGGCCACTTGGAGAGTCCCTTCCTATCTCACCCGACAGGCTAGGTGTGAGGAATGGGGTTCAAGTGGATACAGGGGCTTACGGCTAGAGATGCAGGGGCTAAGGGAAACCAAACTAGACATGGTTTCAGAAAGTGAGATTCAGATGTCAGGGGCCCCATCACCCGAGACAAGAGCGAGCAGCATGAACACACGGAGGCAGGAGACCAAACAAGGAAAATGCTTTCTGGACCGCCTTTCTGGATGCTTTCTGGTGCGGCTGGATAAGGCTGGGGAGGAGTAGGAGCCAAAGGAAGCTTTGTCTGAGGCCTCTCCAGGTGCTCCTCAGCCAGAGCAGCCCCTCCGGAACTTGAGAGCGGACACAGCCCACTCAGGTTGGCAGGCAGACCCTTCCCTGAGCGGAGAGCCTGCCGTGTGTATCAGAGGGAGGCGGTTTCACTTTCCAAATACAGCAAAAATTTACCTGGGACATAAACATCTGAGAGTGAGCACCTCGGAGGGCCCGTGGAAATAAAATTTTATCCCTTGTAAGATACATGCATGATCGGTTCACAAAAACAAATAAAAACCACAGGTAGCCCTGGCTGGTGTAGCTCAGTGGATTGAGTGCGGGCCTGCGAACCAGAGGATCACGGTTCGATTCCCAGTCAGGGCACACGCGTGAGTTGCAGGCCGGTTCCCTGCAGGCCACTTCCCAGCAGGGGACGCACGAAAGGCAACTATACATTGATGTTTCTCTCCCTCTGTCCTTCCCTTCCCCTCCAAGGATAAATAAATAAAATCTTTAAAAAAAACACACACACAGGTAAATGTCAAGCAAAAAGGAAACCTCAGTATAGATAAAACATCAGAAATTGCATGTAACATAATCATGTTCTTGCATAATAAATCGGTGAAAACACAGCCTTTAGTGTGTAGTTAAGTAGCACTTGGTACTAATGTATCTTTCTAAATATCTGCCCAGAACTCCTTAGCAAACAACAGGTACTAAGAACGTACTTATAACACACGCCGTTGAAGACAAGCAGTCCCCACGCGGCCGAGAGTATGAGTGGTGCGGCCACTCTGGTAGACAATTTTGAAGTACGTTTTGATTATCAAAATATTAATATTTCAGGCCGTGGCCGAATAGTTCAGTGGTTAGAGTGTCATTCCAATGCACCGAGATTATGGGTTTGATCCCCAGTCAGGGCACATACAAGAATCAACCAATGATGCATAAACAAGTGGAACAACAAATCAGTGTTTCCCCCTCTCTCTCTCTCTTCCCACCTTCCTCTCTAAAATCAATATAAAAATAAAACAAAATAAATACAGAAAAAAGTAGAACAAAAATAAGTTTCTAAATATTAATATCTCTGGAAGAGTATTCACATTGAGAAATCTTTTTTTTTTTTAGGCAGTATAGAGCTTTATTGAGGTTCATGTACCTGAGCGAGGTTCTCCGGTCCGAAAAGTGGGGCCAAAGAAGCTTCCAGAAATCTATTCTAATAATCAGAAATGTAGGCAAAGATTTATGTGCCAAATGCAGTAAAAAACAAATACCTACCAATAGGACTGTAATGAAATAAATGACACAGAGGAAATATAATTCAACCATCAAATATAGTTATGAATACTTTCAATGATGTAGGAAAATGCTTTAAAAATATTACCTATCCAAAACAGCATATGAAATTGTATACATGGTATATCCTCAATATTTAAGAATATGTGCATGAGCCCTGGCTGGTGTGGCTCAGTGGATTGAGTGCCAGCCTGCGAACCAAAGGGTCAAGGTTCAAGGTTCGATTCCCAGTCAGGGCACATGCCCCGGTTGCAGGCCAGGTCACTAGTAGGGGGCACGTGAGAGGCAACCTCACATTGACATTTCTCTCCCTCTCTTTCTCTTGCCCTTCCCCTCTCTCTAAAAATAAATACAATCTTTTAAAAAAAGAATATGTGCATGTAAAAAATGACTAAAAAGGATATCCTAAAGTATATCCTAAAGTATAACAAGTATAAAAAGTATATCCTAAAGTATAACAAGTATAAAAAGTATATCCTAACGTATTAACAGTGATCGCCTCTACACACTAGTATTATGGGTAATTATTATTTACTTCTTAATACATTCCTGTATTCCCCCAAATTTTTACAATGCTATATCATTATATTTTCCAAAAAAATGTTTTGGAAAAGTATTCTAAAATGATACTAGAGAGCCTGATTTACAGATCCAGCAATGCATCACTTTAACACAGTGATGAGCGGGAGGTGGTTGGTGTGCCGACCGACCTTGCGGTGGTGACCATTCTGCACATGTGCGTGCATCACATCGCCTCGCACACCTTACACTCCCACAGCAATAATGGCAACTATGTCTCAATAAAACTGGGAAAAAAAAACAAAAATAATGGCATCACATATCAGTGGACAACAACTCAAAACAGCACTCAGGAAAAAGTTTACTTTGAGTAGATCATGATACAAACAAAAGGAAATTACTATATACACATAGAAAATGTAAATGTATTTTATTTATAAAGGTATAAATGTATACACTTAAAATTAACCAATTGGAGGGAAAATACATTAAAAAAATAGAAAGCCATAATCAAGTAGAGCTTACCAAGAATTTAAGGATGTTTTAATATAGTGGAAACTATTAATATAATCATATTGAGTGATTTAAATGATAAAACTCGTAATGATAACAAAAGACCAATTTCTACTAAAAGCTTCTAACAAACAATAGATGTTACTCCCTTTAAGTAGATAACATTCATTTAAAACCAACTAACTTCATATTTAATAAGAAATTTAAAAATCTTCTTATCACAATTTTAACACAAAATAGAGATATGTAAGAAAAGACGAATATTTTTGCAGCTATAAGTTTAGAAAAAATAGGTCTTCTAAACACTGTTAGAACAAAGGCAATTCACTAAAAGACAAATATTTTCTTCAAGTGTTCATTTTAGACCTAGACAATTAGAATGTTTACTTTATACAATACATTTTCTGCGGGGGAAAAGTTTTTTTGAATATTAAAAATATATATGTGGGAAAAAAATAATGCAGAAGAGCAATATGACAATGACTGGATGGATTCAAGTGCAGAGTTCACTCATCATGAGGCTGAAAAATATCTAACTATCAAGTGTTAGAATCACCAAGAAGAATAAATAATGTTTTTGCTCAAAGCTAAGGAATAAAAACAGAAGGCACTGCCATGTAAGGAGGTAAATGCTACACTGGGGATCTGAGAACTCTCTTGGGGTCGGGAGAGGTGAACTGGACATTTTAAAGCATCTAATTTTACCAGGTTTGGGGGCAGGTGGGGGGAGAGAGCGCCCCGAGGGGAGCATCGCTCACGGACTCAGAGTGCAAGATCAAAGGGCAGGTTCCAAAAGATTGCAAGCAGGTCCGTGCCCACGACATTGGTCAACATTTTAAAAACTCGGTATTTAAGACCAGAAAATTTCTTCTAAAAATTTGGATTCTGGCTTCTTTTGTCAACTTGGACAATATGACAGACCGGGCCACATTCCCACATGGAGACGAGAGGCAGGTGCCCCTTGCAGACGGGACGATTCGCCGCAGCATGTCCCCAGTCCTCTTACATCCAGCTCACCGCTTCCAGTCACGCACCCTTCTGGTCCCTGGGGCCATGGGAGTGTGTAACTCCAACCCTTCCTGATAGGGACTGATAAACTTTATGGCAGGAAAAAGCGGTATGATTGGGTCTGAATTTCAAAAGAGCAAGCAGAGAGCAGAAGAGAAGACAGAGGGGGAGAAGGGTGGTAAGGAAATCAGTGAAATCCTCTACTAATTAAAAATTAAAAAGGCACCCTGCCTAGTGAGTTGGTTAGGCATCTTCCCAGAAACCAAAAGGTCACGGGTTTGATTCCCGGTTACGGCACATGCCTGGGTTGTGGGTCTGGTCCCTGGTCGGGACATGCACAAGAGGCAGCTGATGGATGTTTCTCTCCCTCTCTATCTCCCTCCTTTTTTCTCTCTCTAAAATCAATAAGCATGTCCTCAGGTGAAGATAAAAAGATTAAATTAAAATTAAAATGGGGCTACCATCGTTGAAGAGGAGTCACCTAGCAACTCCCACAAAAAACTTCCAAGACGTGGCCTGAAAATCACTGAGTTCTGTAAGAGGTGACGAGGGTTTAAGACAAGGCAGTCTGTAGGGAACGGGAAAAAAAAAACGGACAAAGAATAAAAATTTGAGAGCTCTTTGAGGGGAAAAGTCTCCAACACTATGTAACCAACCCGACACTGGGAACAAGGAGAAAGAAAGTACAGGACCATTTGCAGGTTTCTGGCTTAAGTCCTTAGGTGCTGACACTCCAAAATAGAAAACAAAAAGAAGAACAAGTCTGGAGAAAAGGTGATCACTCAGTTTAGAATATGCTGAATCCGTGGAGGCCAGAGATGTGTGGCCTTCTCTCAAAGCCCCCAGTGAATTGGTGAAGGAAACTTGTCTCCAAGTCTCACATGACAATTCTCTAACAGCTGATCCTCAGATGAAAATAAGACAACATGAATACCAAGGAACTAAGATTAAAATGGAATATTATAGAACTGGATAAAATATTGCAACAAGGATTACATAGGGTCGCTAACATCATATATAAAAGCATAATTATAAGATATATTTAAAAAACAATAGCGTAAAAGCCTACCAAGTCTCTTAATGCAAAGAATATGCACTTACATACTATTTTGTTTCCATTAAGGAATTGAAGATGGCTTACAACAAAAATACGTATAAGAAAAGGATAAATTGTAGATAATGAGGATAATAAAATGCAAAAATATTTTTAAGAAAAAAATAGCACCAGGAGAAATCAGAACTAGGAAAGAAGAAACGAGATATGCTGACATCAGGGCTTTCAGAAACATCGACGTTGACAACCAAAGTGAAAAGATTAACATAAGTCACGTGACTCTTACTGTCCAATAGGAGAGAACACAGCAATCCCTCCCTTCACAAAGGACGCTTTTTGGACACCTACCCCAACACAAAAGAGAGAACTGTATGACAAACATTTTTTCTCAATTCAATAAACTTAGCTGTATAAAAAACTCACTACCTTGCCCCTTTTTCTCAAATGTTATTGCAGGACAGTTTGGTATTTCTAAAAACACTGTACACATTGACATTTGGGATATTGGTACGGCAAACTCGGGGGAGGATTTCATAAAGCTGCTTTCCTGTGGTACCTTTTGATGAGAACCAAGCTGGCTGGTGTGGCTCAGTGGACTGAGTCCCAGCCTGTGAACCAAAAGGTTGCTGGTTTGATTCCCAGTCAGGGGATAAAAGCAAAGAAGCAAACATCTAAGCATCACTCAAGGAAGACATCTGGGTGAGGGAACAGTGAGGGGAGGAAGGGGAACGTCAACATGCAATGGGCGAGGTATATAAGTCTCCAATGGTCCACCCCGATCCATAGAAGAATGAATACAATTTTGAGGAATGGATGTACTACACATCCTTCAAAGCACAGCAAGTGGGCTTTGGTCAAAGTTTAATAAAAACCAAGTAGACAGAGTGAGGTAGAAACTGGTGCTCAGCACCCAAAAGTTACATACTCTCTGTGCTGCCTGAGGGTGCAGCCACAAGAGATGGATGTTAATATGAGCACAACACGGTTGCCATCCTTTTATAAAAATTAAGGCGCCTAATTGAAGGCCATCCCACAGCAGCACAGAGGAGGTAGTCACACGCCCCAGTAGTTAAAGGGCATGTACAAAATGCACCAAAGAAAGACCTACAGAAAGTACCCGCAGAAAAATATTCACCTGCACCTCAATGTAAAGAAATGCAAAAGGCACTCTCATTTTGCAACTATAAGCGAAGCAAAGGACTAACTCTAAAAATTCAATGTTGTGTGGATTTTAAGAGTTATATTCAAAATTTGTTGGCATCAAAATATCCCAGAATAAGGAGAACAAGTAAACTGTGATATATTCGTGTTTCTGTGCATAAAAATGATTGTGCATGATAAACATGAACATATACGGCAGGACGCTTACGGCACATTCCGTGGAAAAGAAAGGACATGAACTTGACGTTCCAAAACTGCATACATGGGCACACAGAAAACACGTGGCTGGGACACCGAGCAGGTCGGCAGGAAGCTGCATGCGCAGGACCTTCCCGCCAGCCCAGGAAGAGCGCTCAGGAACTGCGGGCAGAAGCTGCCACGTCCAGGGCTCGCCCTGCATTAGTCCCACCCGTGCTCAGGATTTACCCTCACTTTGCCTGCTCCGTCTCCGGCTGCATCCCCAACCTTATCCTCCAAATCGGACAAGGCCTCCTTTTCCATGTGCTTCACAACACCCCCGTGAGGCAGGTATTTTAAAGAGACCATTCAGTGAATGAACAGTTACAAATCAAAGTTCAACAGAAGGTCTGTTTTCAGACCTTCCCATCGGAGAAGCTTCTTCTAACTTCACTGAGGTCCTTCAGGGTTTACCTGGCTTCTTGGCTGACTGGGCAGGGACAGACACTGGGGGACGGGCTTCTGCAGCCGCGGCAACGGGTCCTCCTTGTCTCTCAGGGCCCTGTGCGTGCTCAGCAGAAGCAGCTGAATTATCTAGAAAGAAGAAAGACACTCCTTTGATCCTTTCTAAGTTTCATGGTGTGGTGGGAACATCAGCCCAGCGAATCAGATCTCAGACAAAACTCTGGATTTGGAGAGTTTGGGTCTTCAGATTTAAAATATGTTAAACACACATACGCACGCACACAGAGTAAGCAGAGAGAAGCTATTTCATGGTAGGAAGGACCCAGGAAACAAGACCAGATGAAGACCATGACAGACCCCATACCTAATACAGAGGAGAAGGCCCTGCCGCCATTCAGGGTGCCCTCAATAGCCCCCAAGACTGGTCTACACAGAGCCCTTCCTACCTTCACGCCACCTGCCCATGAAGTCGACCACTGCCATTGCCACATAAGAGAGCTCCATGGTAGAAGCTTAGAGACTCTGCTTTGATGATACAGTTTTCCCATCAACAGTTCTCCTGAGCTGACCACCCAGTAAAACTGATTTTCAGCTGCAGGCAAATCTAATAGAATAAGTTACCTGAATGCATTATAATGAAAGAACACAGGATCATACTGCATAGACCTAAACAGTGACAGACTGAGCAGAGAAATGGAAGATGGTCATGATGTTGTATAAAGTGACAATTTAAGATGCTACACCAGTACCTACTTTAACCACAACTGAGCCAGTCTTTGTACAGTTAACAAAATTGAAGGGCTTGCAAGTAAATGGTGACAATTACTGTGCATTAGAGTAAGTGAAGCCATGTACAATTTTTATTTCTACTCTATTATTCAAATTTTTCCGTAATGTGGTTAAAATTTCCTTACAATTAAAAACAGAAAATTGAGCCCTGGCTGGTGTGGCTCAGTAGCTTGAGCGCTGGCCTGCAAACCAAAGGGTCACTGGTTCAATTCCTAGTCAGGGCACATGCCTGGGTTACAGGCCAGGTCCCCAGTGGGGGGCGCTCGAGAGGCAGCCACACATTGATGTTTCTCTCTCTTAAAAAAAAAAGGAAACTTTAACTCAATTTAATAAAGAAATGCGTCCTACAACATTCTTATCTCTCCAGTCACTACCCCACCTCCCTCCTCTTTTTCCCTGGTGAAGCGGTTAAGACTAGTCTACCTACTTCCCGACCCCCAACTTCCCAAGGAGCTGCACTGTTCAAACACTTCAGCAGGTGTTACTAGCTGGCAGCCCTGAAAATAACCTGCAGCCCTTCCCTCCTTGGTTACCATCACAGTTCTGTCTCATAAACACTGACTATCTCAAGCTCCCCCTAGGACAGGGCACTTATTAACCCATGAAGCGCTTTCAGGTCAAAACGACATCAGGGATGGAGCTCTGTCCACCTCTGATAGTCTCACCTTTATTTTCGAGTATCTTGTGCAGCTTCTCGTGCCTGTAGATAGAGATGATCTGGAAATTAACGACACTGGGGATATTCAGCCCTTGGTCCTGCAGCAGCTTCAGGGAGGCTGCGTGGATGAGCTGATGGGACCGTTTGCACTTCTGCAGCTTGCACTCTCCCCTGACAAAGGACTTGCACACGTGAAACTTGTTGCACTTGTCCTTGAGGTTGCAGTAACCGTACAGGGCTTCGCCTTTGTTGTAGCACAGACAGACCTGGGACAGAAATGAGGCAACAGTGAAAACAATGCTTTTCACTGTGGCTTCTTAAGCCAATGGCTGTTAACATCACGGGGCAAAAGGCGGAAGGGTGGGGTTACCGTGTCTCCCCCAGCTGTGCTAACACTCAGCTGCCTATCTCTGACTCTGGCACTCAGCTGACCTGCCCACCTGTAACCAATGAGGAAATTCTGCGCAGGTCTTAAAAGCTGGCTACCTTCACTCAAGGTGAGACCAACTTTTTTAAAATCCTCACTAGGGGATATGTTTATTGATTTTTAAAGAGAGGCAGAGAGAAAGGGAGAGGGAAAAAAACACTGATGTTTAGAAAACTCAACCTTGAATTAGTAGTCTCTTGTAAAATTTTCCTTTGGGATTCCAACTATTTTATTTTTATTTATTTATTTTTTTAACCCCACCTAAGGACACTTTTTCATTGTTCCTTAAACAGAGAGGAAGGGAGAGAGAAGCATCAGTTGGTTGCCTCCCATACACACCCGGACCAGGGATTGAACACGCAACCCTTAGGTAAGGGGACAATGCTCCAACCAAGACAGCCACACTGGCCAGGGCTATTTTTTTAAATTATTCGTGTCTAGCTAAACAAACACAAATATACTAGTTTTGCCATTATAACAGTGATGGTGGGTACTTTTTAAGCATTTGAAATGAAATAATATTGTCTGAAAGCAATTAAAATTGATATCTAAGGCCCCCAAATAAGTAAATGGTGGGAAATACAACAAATATGACCAGAAAGTAGTTTTTTTATCATTAAAGACATCTTATCAATTAACAGGAAAAGACACGTGCCTCCATTAAAAAAAAAAGGCAAAAGTATAAACAGGCCATTCTCAAAGCACAGGCTTCCCAGACAGACCTAAATTCAAATCTGCCATTTACTGTGTGACCTTAGATAAGTTATAGGATCTAGGTGAAACTCAGTTTCCACACCTGTAAAATGGGGCCAGGTTATTAATGATCCAAAGCATATAAACCGCTTTGTGTTTAGCATACACTGAAAAAAAAAAAAGTAGCCATTATTGTTTTGTCTATACCACAGGAATCCATCATTCCCTATGTATTGAAGTCCAGTAAAACCACAGAGACTCCAGAAAGGTCAGCCCATACCGTAACCCCATCCCACCCCATACACCTCAGGTTTGTCAGGCTCTCCCCGGACTTCTTCCCTGCCCCCCCACCCGCAGACCCAGTGAGGTTGACTCTATGGTGACTCACCTCTGGTAAAAGGCTGGGGTCATTCTGTAAAAGCAGAATCCGAAGCTGGGCTTCATTGAGGCCAAAAAGCCCGTGGTTTTTCAGGACCTGGATGTTGACAGGTGTGTGGATATCATGCGAAAGGGTACAGGTGGACCTAGAACACAAAGCGCTGGATCAGAGGCCCAGGTTGCCTCTCATAGGCGCCCTAACAGGGGACCAAACCCACAACCTAGGCATGTGCCCTGACCAAGATGGAACCCGCGACCTTTCGCTTTACGGGATGACGCTCCAGCCAACTGAGGCTCCAACCAACTGGCAGGGCTGGGGCTTTTGGGTTTGGTTTTGTTTGTTTCATTTAAATGAGGATGCTTGAAAGCTAAGCCCCTGCCCCCCACCCCCACCCCGCGCCAGTCACTAGCCTTGACAGAGAGTGCCCACCTGTTTTATAGATGACTGCACTTGCCTTCTCCACCCCAAACAGCCGCCCACCCCTGCTTTGGGGAACTCGAGTAAACCAAGGCAGCTCCAGACGACCTCTCCCAAATCATCCACCCCCTCCAGTTCCCGAGGGTCAGACTAGATCGGTCTTTCTAAACCTAGAGAGCTCAGACTGGCTTCTGTAAAAGTTTGTGTTTAGGGAGTGGGCTGGGATGGGAGAAAAAGGCAGAAAACTGTACTTGAACAACCGTTAAAATAAAAAATGAAAAACAACTTTGTGTTTACGTGAGAAGAAGCAACCTCTGCATAAAAGGTCCCAAGGAGCTGATGGGGTCCACAAACACCCTGCAAAAGGCCACTGCAGTGAACGAACTCCAAGCCCCAGCCCTGGTTTTTCCCAGCCGTGTTGTGCAGGGGCCGCGGGCAGGGATGTCTAAAAAATTCAAGTTGAGCTGGCCTCCCTCCTCATTCCGCCCCGGAGCTGGGAGCGCAGGGCGGGCCTCCCCCGGAGGACCCCGCAGGGCCCCTTCCGGAGACTTCCCTTCCGCCCTTTCCGAGGAGATCGGCGGCCCTGGGGCACGCCACCCCCTTTTTCAACTCGTTGGTGCCCCACTTCCAGCGGCCTGCGCACGGGGATCGTGACCCCGCCCGAGTCCCGAGGCCGCCAGGTCCCCACCCCGCCCCTCCCCGTGCGCCTCACCAACAGTCGCGATTCGGGCACTTGCCCAGCATGTGACGGCGGCAGAAATGCAGCTGGTCGCAGCCCTGGCACTCGCCGCGCTGGTAGCGGGCGCACAGGCGCGCCGAGGACACCGCCACCACCCTGCAGGCCATGGGGCGGCCAACCGCGCCGACTACGGCGCCGGCCGCCACTTCGGCCTCTGCGTCCCAGGGGCCGTCCTTCACCTCCACCTCCTGCAGCAGGAAGCGGTCGGGGCCCGCCTGGCGCAGCACGTCCCGGAGCCTGGCCTCCGAGAGCTCCACGTGGGCGCGCAGGTCCTGCAGGAACATGCGGCCGCCGTTGGCGCACAGCACCTTGGTGAGGAAGGAGCAGAGGGTGGGCTCCGCCATGCTCTCGGCGCGGCTCCCTGCGCGGCCCAGCAAGAAATCCAAGGCGGGCAGACTCCTCCCAGTCACGTCCGGGATTCCAAACCAAGATCCCGAGACAGTCTGGGGAAGGGCGGGGAGTGGGGGGCGGGGGGGAGGGGCGGCCGTGAGCCCATTGGGGCCCCCTGGACGCGGACCAGGCAGGGACAGTAGTTACTGAGTGCCCGCTCTGTGCCAGGCGCTGGTCAAGGTGAATCCGTGTGTGAGGGACTTGTGTGTGTGTGTGGTGGGGGGGGGGGGGGGGTCATAACACGCAACGAATGAGAGAATAAGAGACACTGGTAAGGAATGCAAAGATGACATAGGTGGTGTGACTTAGACAAAGAATTTTAACTATCTCGGCTGAAGTCTGTAAAAGAAAGGGTTTGTGAGGCCCATGGTAACAAAAAAGTAAGACCAGTCTTGGGGCATCGAGTCCAAACCACCAGAAGCATGTTAAGAACGGCAGCATGTCCATTGTCCTGGAGTTTTGCAAGCATTTTTATAGAGCAAGTGGGTTGGGGGGTTGGTGTGTGTGGGAGGGCGCGGTGAACGGGTCTGAAAGGATTTACAGCAGCCACGGACTCTGGGATGGGAGAAGGTGCAGCAAGTCTGATTGCGAGAACGAAGTGTCAGGTCCTGGGGAAGGGGCCCGCAGGCACCAGGCCAAGTCCGCTAGGGAAGGTGGCGAGAGAAGCCCCTGAAACAGCGCAAGAAGCAGGCCAAGGAGATGGACGAGATAAGGCTTTCAAGCAGAAGCAAAAAGGGAAGCAACTCGAGGAGCTAAAGTCGCAGGTCTGGGGTGGGCACGGCCCCCCGGCCACAGGTAGATGTAAGAAATCTGGCAAAAAGTAAGCTGCTCCTGGTGCCTGGGACAGTGTTGGCCCTGAATTCCATCCCTGTTTTAGCATCTGGGTCCCTGTCCTAACATTCCTGCCACCTATAGCTAGAAGGGAGTATTGTTCTGGAGCCTGTTGTACGTTTAAGACTGAACTTTTATAAAATAATAATAATAATAAAATTAAGAAAGAAGAAAAGGAAGGAGGAAGAATCCACTCCCGTGGATTCGTTGTGGGCAGCAGATTGGCAAGTTCATGTGCAAATGCAACAAAGCCAAGGCTCCTAGGGTTGGATGGCGCCTGGTTGCTGTCTCTGGGATAATCCGACTGCCACCTGGCAATTAATCTAAATTCCGACAGATGCACAGGAATGTGAACAGTCTCGTGTCAGAGCTGGTCTTCAGCTACTAACAAGCTGACTGTTCTGTCTCACTCTGCCCCCGCTGCGATCTTGAGTTAGAACATCTCTGATTTTTTTTTTTTTTTTTTTTTTAGTCATGTGGCAGGAGCAGAGTGGCCTCAGGTAATTAGTGAGAAAGCTCTCAGAGGAGGCAGACACTAGCCAGCCCCACACGTGGCTGCTGAGCACTTGAAATGTGACCAGTCTCAAGTGAGATGTGCTATGTGACATGCATGCACTGGAATGGGAAGATTTAGAATGAAGAAAATGCAAAGTATCTCATTAATAACCTATGTGGCTCACTTGCTATTTCTGTGGACAGCACAGGTCTAGACCTGAACATTGATTAAGCAGCTATCCTTCTGGCCCCACACCCTGCTCATTTACTGAACATTTATGGAGCTGATGCAGTGACCTAGTTCAAAGATGAATGAGACATAACCCAGGAATGCCACCAGCCTAGTTGGTGTTCTGAGGACCCAGTGAGTTCATGTCCTGTAATGTCTAGAGGAAGGTAACTGGCCAGACGCCAAGAAACCTTCCCTGCCGTGCTAAGAAGTCTGGACTTAAATACTGAGGCTTGGGAAGCCACTTGAGGAATTTCAGCTGCAAAGTGACTGAACACTTTGATCCCCTGCCTAGAACACTTTTCCCGTGATCTAGAGATCTCCTGTTGGCCATTCAGCTCTGAGCTTAGAAGTTCAAGTGTTCTCTTCAGCAAGGCCTTTTCTGGCCTCCCAAGCAGAAGTAGCTCCCCAGTCTCCATGTAGAACTTACCACTGATAACTTTTCTCCTTGTTTATTTATGTATTTCTGGAGTTCAAGTGCGTGAAAGCAGGAATCTCATTGGTCTTGTTCACTGTTGTATCCCTAAATTTAAATCAGTGCCTGGCCATACTGTAGGGTAGGTAGGTGTTTTAGAAAGATCCCTGGCAGGAGTGAGAATGTATTTCTAGGAAAGCAAGACAAGACAAAGAATAACAGGAGAAAACAGGATTCGGGGGGTTATAATCTTAGTTTTTATTGTGTAGGGATTGCAATGGACAATTCAAAATGAGATGCTTGGCAGGCAGTGAGTTGTATTGGGTTGACCAAAAACTCATTACATTTTTCTGTAAAAATGAAAGGCACATTTTTCATTTTCACCAGTAACTTTCTTGATTTGGATATTTTGAGAGTGCCAGCTATCTCCCACTATTGGCTTCTAGTGGGTAGAGGCCAGGGGTGCTCCTAAACATCTTCAAATGCATAACACAGCCCCTCAGCAAAGAGTCATTTGGCCAAAATGTCAATAGTACCCAGAAACTTCACAAACCACTTTTGACACGTTCAGTCAGTCACAGCACCTTCTATCCTGCACTGCACAAATCTTTCTTTTGCGTTTCGGTTGCGTTTTTACCTTTCTTGAAAGAATAAAGATAATACACTGAAAATGTTGTGCATCTTCTTCCATCTTCAATACTAAAGGTGCTACACAAAAATTCACCAATTACGGTAAGTTTTTTAAATGCACACTGTGAGCCCTGGCTGGTATGGCTCAGTGGATTGAATGTGGGCCTGCGAACCAGAGGATCGAGGTTCAATCCCCAGTCAGGGCACATGCCTGGGCTGCAGGCCAGTTCCCAGCAGGGGACACACGAGAGGCAACCATGCATTGATATTTCTCTCCCTCTCTCCTTCTTCCCTTCCCCTCTAAAGATAAATAAATAAAATCTTTTTTAAAAATTATAAAAAATAAAAATAAATGCATGCTGTGGGAGTTGTTAAGATCCCTCAGCGAAAATGAAGAGTGAAAAGCTGAGAAGAGAGGATAAACCTTGGGGAATAGCAACGTTAAACATGTCTGGACACTTGAGCACCTGCTATGACAAAGTAAACAAACAAAACAGGACAAATAACTAATTGGAAGACGCACGAGTCTGCTCCTGCTTGATTTGATGGCATTTTCGTGTCTCTGAATGCGGGCGCTCTGGCAGCAGCCTGTTGACTATCCATTATTTTACTTGCACTGAGGTGCAAGTGGCGATTTTGCCTTCGCTTTAATCAAAGCTACCTGCCGCATAGGGATTTTGCCCCTCTCTCTCCACCCATTCCAAGATTAAACAAGGAGAAGGGCTTTTAAAGGAGTGACTATTTGGACAATTCTGATGATCATTTACATGTTTACCTTTCCTGCCTCAGCCCGGCCCCACCCCTGACTACGAGAAAGGTGTCTCAGAGCAGCCTCTTCCGACTCTAAGCCCCCACACAAAAGATGTGCCAGTCGGCTTGGGGGCTTCTCCACCACCACACCCTGCCTTTCCCTGGCGGTGCTGTGGTCAGTGAGTCCTGGGACAATAAAGCTGGAAGGGGAAAAAGACAGCCTCTACCCCTCAGTGAATAAATTGGTGTCTGTAGCTGATGGTGTTTCGGAGATACCTAGAAATCAAGCAAAGAAAGGCAGCAGAGCAAAATTAATATGTACTTTTTAAATCAGTCTCAAAATGAGCTTGAGGAACAAGAAATGCAACGCCACTACTGAAATGTAAATTGTTGGAGCTTACTTTATTCAACAAAATTAATGTTATCAGCATATGAAGCGCTCAGCCCGTTATGAGGTATGGCACAGTGAACGAGACGGCTTGACTCGGCCCTCGAGGAGCTTACATTCTAAAGCAGACAGCTTCCAGGCAGAGAGATGCTAAAAACGAACAAGGCAAGGCACACCGTATTTTAAAAACTGGGCATTTGAGAGGCAAACATCCGATTTCAGCTATAGGACTCCTGATGGAGGTAAACGAGCTGAAGATGCTGGAAATGAACTAAGTGGTTCTCAGCAGTGACAGTTTGGAAAATTGATGGGATGCTGGTGTCCTAACAACTGGGGACTGTTACTGCCGCTCAGCGGATGCAGCCAGGGATAGCAGACGCCTTGCAGTGTATGGGCTAACCCCACACAACGAAGAATTGTTCTGTACCTATACGACTTTCTAATGTCCTGCTGGACACATATGGAGGACCTACAGCTTGCCCGAGAGAATACAATGTTCTCCTCTTAGACAACCTGTAATTTGTCTTGTCCTATTATCATTGTTTAAAGGAAGGTAATTTCGCTCTTTCCCTTCCCTGCCCTTCCAGATAAGGTGTATGGTCTGTTACGACTTAACCCCATTACTGGTCTTCATTCTAGCGTCACCTATATACATGTTTCATTGGCCTACACTTCTGTACAGGAGGTAGCCTCTGATTGACTCTGAAGTCCAACCCTATTCACTCCAAGTAGAAATAAATAACCTACTTCATGATGTTGCATAGCATAGTCATGCCTGAGCATTTCCACTTGAAATTCAGTTTACTTGTTATCACAGACTGCTTTCCTCCTGTTTCTCTCTTCTAAGAGTTAGGCAACCAGTTGATTTTTAAAGAAATGCGTGTGTGTAAATAGACTGCGTTATCTATGAATCATCTCAGGACAGCGAAAGGGATATTAAAAAATGCTGTGAAAAAAGGTGACTAGATCTGATAGGGTGTGTGGCTGTCACCCCCGCTGGGGGCAGGAAGGGCTTTACTGCCACTTAGTACGTGAGGACCAAGTATGCTGAACAGTTTGCAATACACTGGACACTTCCTCACGGTAAGGAATTCTTCTACACCCTATACGGATTCTGAATGTCTCCATAGACATTCGTGTATCACCTACGGCACGTCTGCAAGAAATATATGTCCTCGTTTTCTCCAGTTCGACAACCTGTAGATTGTCTTGCATAGTAGCTTTCTTTCAATGAAGGTGTTCTTATAGAAATACGTATTACCATAAGCAAATAAGTTATTGTATCACTGCTTTCTATTCTAAGGTCCACTTGTCTACCTGCTATTGTAGTTTCCCACTTACTTCTTTGTACAAATCAGCTTCTGATCTCCTACCTTCTTTTGAGTTCCAATTTTTCGTTGTAAGTAGATGTAAACATCTGACTACTTAATTAGGTCTTCTGGTCAAGTCGTGCCCGAGTTGTATACTTTTTATTTCCCTTTTATGTTCATATTACTTCATTTTAAACTTGTTTCTAAAATTGTGTGTAGGCAGAGTGTGTTACTACTGAATTGCGTTTTGAGGATGAAGTGGATGTTACAAAGTATTTATCATAAAAGAAAAAAAGGAGCACTAGCTGAGAACCACTGAGCTGTGTGGAAAGGGTAGCAAAGGCCTGATGGGAAGCTCGCGAAGCTTGTGTGCGAGAAGATAAATGATGGGGGTGGGGGAGCAATCACGTGGGGCCATGATAATGATTTGGAACTTCACCCTAAAGGCATGATCAGATTTGTGTTTTGAAAGATTATTAAGTAAAACATTTTTTTAAATATGGCCACTCTGGCTAAGTAAAAAACTTAGAAGGGGGCAAAGAGATATTTAAGAGGGAAAGGAAAATAAGTTGGGAACAGCTTAGGAGCCTTGGGGAAGGCAGAGGGAGGGGTCGGATGACTGCCGGATAGATTTCTGCTTGAGCAGAGGTGTGGATGGTGATACTACGGACTGACTTACAGAATACAGAGAGGAACAGATTCATTTGAGGGGGGCAGAACGGGAATTCTGTTTTGGACATGCTGACTTAGAGATGCCTGTGAAATATCCCACTAGAGATGTGCAGTGTGCGGTCAGATACAGTTGGATAGACTGCATCTCTGCAACATGAGGGTCAAGATCAGGAAATGAAAACCAAAACAGAAGCTACCATAAAAAAAAAAGTGACTGAGAGTAACTACTTGTGGCAAGCCTCCCAGAAAATAACCCTACACTAAAAAATCTCCATAGATTTGTCACTGGTACAGCCCTTTAAGCCAAGGAGTTTGTGGCATGCTTTGTACTAACATAAAATCTAGAATGCTCATTAATTTTTGTAACATGTCTGCTGGAAGGAACTAAAACAGGCCATTTTGGACACAGGGGTGGAATGTTTGAAAAGGAAAATGGAAAGGAAAAACCTGATTCATAGTAAGGATCTTGGTGCGCACACCACAGCCGACCTGAAAACTGACTGCGCTATACTTCCGGACAATACGGTCCACTTAGGAAAAGCAGCCCCTTGCAGGGACGAGGCCCCTTGGAGCAACTGTTCTCTTTGTTCCGGTTCTGCGCTCATCAGGAACAAATCTCGCCTCCTTAGGGGGCCCAGCTTTCCACAGGAGGGCCCTGCTCCCAATTCCCAGGAGAGCCCCACCCGCCATGACTACAGGGGCACTCGGGTTTATCAGTCATGACTGTGTGACTCTGGTTACTACAACCCAGTACTCCGAAAAGACACACACTTCATGAAAGCTGACCTGAAAGAAGCCTGGCTTGTAATCATACTGGTTAGAATATAAATGTCTGCTTGGCTATAAGTATATCAAGACCCCACATGGGCCATCAGTTCGAGTTGGCGCTTCTCTCTGAGCCACACTTGGCAACTCTTCATTGAATTCCAGAGTCGAGCTGAATGGAGCCCCCTAACTAAACGTAGAGATAACGAAATGTATGCCTCAGATCAGTTTTGCTACAAATGTACACAGCACTGTGGCTGTGTCTGTAATGGCATTTAAATTACCTTTACTCCCACCCACACGTTCCTAAGCATTCTCTGTCCCAACTTTTCAATCTTCCATTCACGGATGGAATCACTGTGTTACGTCCTTATTTCAACAGGCATTTTTAGATTTCTCTCAAAGTTCCCAAATGAATTCGTTTTTAATTTAACCCAAACAAAACCAGGCCATCCAGTAAACTGTAAGTGTGGCTAGGAGAGAGAGGTTGCTTCAGTCACAAAAGTTGCAGAACTCAGTCTTCCCCGGTCACCTTGAAGGCAAGCAGGTCCCAACTTCTGTGACCCCATACCGCTGCCTGTCACCCACTGAAACATTTAGTTGGAATGGGGTGCATTCTGGACCTTGGGGGTTTTTTAAGTTTCCAGGTGATTTAAAAGGTGCAGCAAAGTTTGGGGACCACCGATCCAAGGCATTTGATAACGAAGCGAGGAAATGTGAAAAAAAAGTTTCACTATTTTTCTGTGGCCATCTGCTTCTGTAAGTGAACGGAATGGTTTTGGCATCCTTTAAGACGGTGTCTTCGTCATTTCTAACTAATCACGCAGGTTTTATCTTTATCTGCTTCGGTATATTCAATCACGTATTCCGGGTAAATCTGATCTTTCTGAAAGATGACAAAGATGGACGGGTTCAACTTTGAATCCACACAGCTGTCCCACCGTGAAGAGGAGCTCGTGTAGCCCCGATTCCCTTCGATGGGATCTCCGACCAGCACCCGGGCGGCAAACATCACGGTGTTTCTGGAATCCTGATGGCAACTCCTATGGGCACAGATGGCATCTCTCATAAAGTAATTTCCTAGAAATAATAAGAAAAAAGGTTAAGAATCACCTGGCTGGTGTAGCTTAGTGGATTGAGTGTGGGCCTGCGAACCAGACAATCACGGTTCGATTCCCAGTCAGGGCACATGCATGGGTTGCAGGCCGGTTCCCTGCAGGCCAGTTTTCAGCAAGGGATGCACGAAAGGCAACCATACACTGATGTTTCTCTCCTTCTCTCCTTCCCTTCCCCTCTAAAGATAAATAAAATCTTAAAAAAAAAAAGAAAAGAAAAAAAGTTAAGGATCGGTATAAAAGAAAGTACATAGTTTATAAGATCATTTACACATCATGAAATGATGAGCATTGACTAAGCCAGCGATTTTCAACCAATGTGGCACAAGAACGAGCAAAGAGCCATCCGTGAAACTGAGAACAGACTGACAGTGACCAGAGGGGAGAAGGGAGGGGATGATGTGGGAAAAGGTGAAGGTTTCCAGGAATAATTATAAAGGACACATGGACAATAACAAGGACACATGGACAATAACAAGGGGGGGGCGTGGAAACAGGGGAGGGAGGCAGGGAGGGCTGGGGTGGTGTTGGGGTGTGGTGGGGGGAAAGGCAGAAAACTGTACTTGGAACAACAATAAAAAAAAAGTCATCCGGTGTGAATAAATCAAAATTATACCTATCTTTGCCAGATCTGCAAAAAATAGACTTTTTGGTACGCTGCAGAATTTTAGTGATCGGTTTCTGTGCCGTGAGAAAAAAGGGTCAAATCACTGGACTCAGCAGATGTCAACACCTTCCTGATACTCACAACCTTCCCTCCGTCCTTACAAAACATTTATTGTACAAGTCAACTTGGACACAGTGCACAAACCCCACCGGCCTGACAGACACAGTGGCTACTGTGCGGGGCTCCCTATGGCGGTGACGGCCACAGGGGACAAAGACCAAGGGATGTCACCATGCTCTGGTTCATGCAGGGGAAGCTGAATTACAACTGACGGGCCCAGGACATTCTGGCACAGGCCATTTAATATCGTAAGGGACAAAGGTCATGTGCTGCGGATGGGAAGGTCATGAAAAATGGGGAAGGAAGAGGTATAGTACAGCCAAGCAAGTGACCCTGGCAGAGCTTTTCAAAGACAATCGGTCCATCGCCCTCCATTCTCAAACCTCTGGTAATCACGGGGATTCCCGTACTCAGCAGATCAGCGATGACTTCCTGACATTTTCAAATTTCCTATTTTTATTTTTAGCCTTGCCAGATGCTTCTCTGCCCTCATTAAAGGAAATGAGTCTATGTGGAAAATTCTGATTTTCTATGCAAAAAGGAAGAATTCAAATAAATTTGTTATATTTAAAGTAACGAATGTTTAATACTTTTTTTTTCATTTATTTTGTTTTTGTTTATTATTATCATTTTTTATAATTCAGCTATTGGAATTTTCTTGAAAATACTTGTTTATCCTAACTAGGTCAGCCACTTGGCATTCTGGGGAAGGGATGTTCCATAATATTTAGCATGAAAACTTCAAGTCCAACTATACTGTGGTGCCATTTCCAGTCCTGCTGTCCTTCACCGGCACAGTTAACAGCTTGGTGGGTACCCCCCACAACCTGTTCTTAGGCATTTAGTACGTATACACTCAAATGGTTTTATTTTTATTTGTTCATAAATCGCAAACAAAAGGAACTGTTCTACAACCATTTTTGTTTCCACTTTAGTCCTGGAAATCTTGCCATATCAGCCGGCACATCTAACCCCACCTCATTCTTTTTCATGGCTGTATAAGATTCCACTGTGGGGAGATATATAATTTAACGACTCCCATACTAGTGAAAAACATGGGTTGATTTCGCTTTTTTTTGCCATTACCTAAATACTTCTAAACCAATGCTTCTGAAACATCCTAGTAAACTACACCTTTGTTTACTAGGATGTTTCAGAAGCATTGGTTTAGCTGTATAAAGTTCTGTAAAACAGACTGCAAACCTATCATGGCAGAGTCAAAGGACGTGAGCACATTCAGTTTTGACAGACATTGCAAATTGTCCTCCAGAAATGGTCTGAAAACTTTACCATCAACAATGAAGAAAGTCCTGTCCCCCCACCTCCTTGCCAACATGGGATATTATCTATCCTTTTCATTTTTGTCAATATCCTGGACAAAGGAAAAATCTGATTTTAATGTTTCCCTGAATACTAGTGACACTGAGCATCTTTTCATGTGCTTACTGGCATTATTTCCTATGTTCTCTCCAAACTGCTTTTTCACTCCCTGTGCCCATTGTATTCGATGTCTTTTTCTTATTCGATGTCTCTTGTCTTTCAAAACAAGCCTCTGGTGGGCAGACAGCAAGTCCATCAGGATCTTTTCACAACCTTACAAAGTGGGCCAGTAGGTAAGTGGAAAATGACCAGGATACACACACAAAAAATCATTATCCTACCACATTTCTGTTGGGCCCCCAGCTCTGCCCACCTGTCATTGCCAGCGACCCCCCAACCCAGCTGGCTGCAGCCCCTCCACTTTAACAGATGGGCAATTGCGCCCGCATTCCGTACTGCTCCGCTGCAACCCACACGAGCCATCGGGGGTGCGGCTGGGAATTGTTTGAGTTGCTCCGCCCACCACCTATTCTGATGACACTACCCATTTCTCTACATCATCCTACGGCCATACCTCATTTCTTAAGTATCTGCAAAGAACTACTCCTCTTATGTCAATTTCCAGGACTTGTCATCAATTTAAGCTACTTGGAAAGACATCTGTCTCTAGCATGTACACTTCTGTGATTTGGAAAGCAGAATGAATTCAGTCGATCCCTTCTTTTACTGACAGGTCAGAAGTAGATGTAATTCTGACAAATGGTGTGACTACATGGGCTGCCCTGTGCGGTCACTAAGGCGGACAGAGCCTTTCATTCCCACTCAAATGGCCACAGGGTGAGAAAAAAATGTCATGTTCGTGTCTCGCAGAACACTTCTCACTCCCCACTCAAAAGCTGTGGCTGTCTTCTTGCTGACTGTCTCCAGCATCTTTTTCTCCACACTCCTCACTTGTTGGGCTGAATCCCGCCCCCCACGGTTTCTGAAGTAAGACTGAGTGGGTTCCGAGATGCTCCCCAAGATAAACACACAGGATCCTCAGTTTGGAATTTTAGACAACTCAGGCCACCGTAGCAGAACTGTTCACTCCCAGGTTCTGAGTTACATTCCAGAAAGCTAACATTTCCAGATCAGGGGATTCCAATGATGCATATAAAAGGTGTAAAATAAAAAGTATGGAGTGACAGGGGAACACAGATTTGGCTTCAAGAAAATGGAATTAAATGAATAGACAGGAATTCCATCCACGTTTTTCTTCAGTGTGCACATTAATTGCGTGATAAAGCCATAAAATCTATTTTCAACATTCAGAGGTAGTTGCATATGTTTCAACGGCACTGAGCTACTTTTATATTTCGATCAATATTTTTCTATTTTGTAAGAAAGCCTGAGTGCTGATTCGATAATCTTTGATTATTTTTCTCTCTGTGTGATAGCTGAATGAAAGCCTTGTGAAGTCAATGAAAAAGGATTCTTTATACAAGTATTCTAGATCTTTGGAAGGCATTTTTATCACTCTCCGTTCAAAAAAGAGTAGCTATTACCCTAAATGACTGGTTTTTAAAATGAAGTATCAGGCCTGGCTTGCATAGCTCAGTGGATTGAGCATGGGCTGCAAAACAAAGAGTCACCAGTTTGATTCCCAATCAGGGCACATGCCTTGGTTGCGGGCCAGGTCCCCAATAGGGGGGTGCTTATATAATCTGGACCCTGCATTTGCTCAACTGATCCAACCCTAAGACCCAACCTCAGAGCCATTGTTGTCTGTGGTCACCCACAGGAAAAAGCCGTCCCTTTAAGGAGCCATGCAAGCTTTCCTGGAGGCCCCGCCTATGCCACCAGCCTCGTCTTCGGTCACGCCCACCAAACCACACAGGTGCTGTGTTCCCTACATACAGCCGCCCAGGCCCCCGCCACCTCTCCTCTTCAGAAACACTCTGCTCCCATCTTTTTATTTTTGCCTGGTTCTAGCTTTTGTGTGTCCTGAAAGTCACACTTAAGACTTCACAATATGCTGATTTTCTAAAATCTACTTTATCCATATTTTCATCCACTCAGGATAATTAATGTAATGGGATAGTACTGTCAAAGACCACGGTTGTTTTCTTTTTTGCAATTGTTAAAAATACATAACCATCTTTTATTTATCCAGACCCATTCTTTGCCTCAGAGAGGATTAAAATCTGTGGAAGGAATGCATAAAGGAAAAGAAAGAATCGCGGTCAGCTTCTGATAAACAAAACAGGATCTACACATGCGTTGAAAAAATAAAAAGCCTGGGCCCTGGCCGGTCACTCAGTGGGTTAGAGCGTCATCCCAACCTGCCAAGGTTGCGGGTTTGATGCTGAGTCAGGGCACACACAGCATCAACCAAGGAAAGTGTAACCGAGTGGAGAAAGCCAATGTTTCTCTCTCTTTCCCTCTCTCTCCCCACTTCCCTCCTCTAAAATCAATTAATAATAAAATAATGATGATAACGGGCTTTGTTACCTAGACAAAAGTCGGACTAAAACCAGGGAAAAGATCCCTCTCTAGGTTAAGAGTCAAAAATGGTCAGGTTGGCTCCGACTCGGTTCTCCAGGGGCTTGGGGCTCCACATTCTGGGCCTGGGCTAGGAGTCAAAGATGACACGGGCCCAATGGCAGAGGAAGGCGTGGGTCTCATGTCCTATGGGAACACTGATATTCCAATTCTCTGTAGATTCTTTTGCGTTTTCTATATAGACACACGTATCATCTTCAAAAATAATAATTGTATTTCTCTTGCTTCCTAACCATTTAGCATCCCCAAGTACCTGGGCTGAAGAATCTTAGGAGGCTTTCTACCTCTGATAAGTGCAGCACCCCGCGTGTTAAATACACCCCCTGGCCTTCTACGCCCCCGTCTAGCCTCCTGGGTCAAGGCCTCTCGAGCCCTTCTTTACTGAGCTATCCCCGAAAAGTGCTTCTCTTCCTAATTTCACCTTGCTTCTACTTCTTATCCAAATCTTAGCTGTTAGCACCTCCTCTGTCAATGCAATTGAGTGGCTTTTACCCAAATGCTGAGGTTCTTTCCCTCGGTCCAGACTAATCGGCAGTTGCAGCCTAACTTTCTAGCTCTTATTAACACTCGCACTAAGAGTGTTTTCCGTGGTTACCCCCCCATCTCCCAGCAGAATCCTGCTTTTCACCTCCAATTACAAAGGCGTGGTTCAGAGCCCTTCTATTTTTTCCAGAAATGTCTTTTTGCTCAATACCCTTTAAACACAGTCACGTAGGAAATTATGCAGCTAGTAGCCCCACCGGAGTGGTTTCACATGTGCACCAGGAGTCTCAGTTTCCCCCCAGAGAGTAGCAATATCTTCGTGATTGACCACTTGGCTTCTTTTGGGATTAACTGCCTGACCTTCTTAAGAGAGTGGACCCAGTAGTTCACACCAGTCTATGTAGCCAGGACTAATAGCATTATGGGTGATGAGAATAGAGAGCTCACATTAAAAAGAAATGCAAACAAAACAGAAACACCTCCTAATTCTGTGTAATAGGAGACAAGCCAAGGAGACGGCTCACTCCCTGACCTACGCAAGAGAGGGAGGCATGGGAAAAAGGCCAAGTTCCTTGAGAAACACCCCGCCTCTCCGTGAGAACTATAGACCACATTCTTGTTGCACGGGGTGTTTTCTTGGCTGTCAACAACTCTCCCCTTTTACCAAATTAAAAGAAAAACAGTAGCAAATAAGTAATGCCATCAAACCATTAAGTACAGCCCTGGCTAGTGTGGTTCAGTGGGTTGAGCACCAGCCTGTGAACCAAAGGACTGCTGGTTCGATTCCCAGGCAGGACACATGCCTGGGTTGTGGGCCAGGTCCCCAGTAGGGGGCGCATGAGAGGCAACCACACACATTGATGTTTCTGTCCCTTTCTTTCACCCTCCTTTCCCCCTCTCTAAAAATAAATAAATAAATCTTTAAAAACAAACCATTAAATATTGATTTCAGCTTTCTTCTATTTTTACGAGACACAGACTAAGCACCCATATCAGTCACTATCAAAGGCAGTTATAGGCTGCATTTCCATGTTCTAAGATAAATATCTGAGCTCTGACAGACTTTGAGAGGCTGATGGATTTAAACTTCACCCGTGTTATAGCTCACTCAAGATGGTCACCCACTTCCTGCAAACGTTTCTTGGTCTCAGTGATGCATTTAAATTTAATAAACTTATGAAACGCTCATCAGGCCATTCCCCGGGGTCGGAACCTTTCATTAGCTTCCGACGCCCTTTGGGGCAAATCTAAACTCCACCGTGCGGCCATGCTTTGCTCCACTTGTCCCCTGCTTTACTCGCTGACTCTATGAGGCTCATGAGCACCCCACACACCTTTCCCCGGGAACACCTCTCAGGCGCATCAGGGGTCCACAGGACCTATTCTTCTCCTCACGGCAGCTGCACGGGAAACCATTGAACTCATTCTGTGAAATAACCAAGAGAGGGGGAAGTCTAACTTGTTCACCACCGGGTGCCCCTGTGTCTAGCACATGGCAGGGTCTCAAAAAATTCTGTTAACTGACTGATTGACTTCTTGCCTTTTTAATTTTTTTCGGAGGGGTGGGGGCATGAATTTTATCTCAGTTGTATGAGCTGGGCCTACTTTGAGACTTGAGAAACTCTTACTTACTCCTTTAAGGTGACCGATGCTTTGGTTTTTGTTGGTTTGTTGCTAAAAGTTGCACGAAGTTGAGGAGCAAACAGAAAGAGCTGAAAAGACTTTGCAAGTGGGCAGACCTGTGTGACATCAGTCCCCGGGGGACCCAGCTGGGCCCGAGATGAAGAAGCCTCTTCTCCCATCTCTGAATTAGAACTCACGTGTGACAGCAGAAAGCCACTTCGAGTGGCTTCAATGAGACAGACACAGGTCAGGAAGAGGTACTGAGTAACAGACAAGGTAGACAAGGTAGCCAACACGTGGCGTAAACTTGTCAAGCATGTTCGAGATCAAAGAGTCTCAGAGAATTAAGGTATTTCATGAAAAGGGGAAGTTTTCGCCACCAAAAACGGAAGGCAGGAGCAGGACTAAGGGGACAGCAATCCAGTCCCAAGTCAATTTATCACTCTAATCTGGGCACTCAAGGCTAAGGTGAGCTTACTTTCTCTCCATCATGGAGAGCGCCTGGACATTCCTGTTAATACAAAATAATCCCATGTACCTCGTAAGAGAAACAGATGCAGAGCTTGAGTTAAGGCCTGTTACACAAGCCAGGCTTCTCTATCCCAGTACAAACCTTTTCCATATCTGGTATCAAGAGTCTCCTGCATGGTCCAGTTAAAATTATTCGCACAGATAGAATCTATATGGGCGCGGCTCATGGCACAAAATAGGATTTTTTCATTGTTAATCTTCATCTTCTCTTTTTTCCTAAGAGAGAAAACGTGAAACTTAGCACCGAGAACATTCCTCTCTGGCTCCGGTTCACAACATTAATGATAACTATAGTCTCGTTGTCCTAAACATTCATTTCACGGGCATTCAGAATGGAGCTACTTACTTTAGGACAAGAGCCATAAAAATACATGTATACTGATGAAAACTTTTAAAAGGACAGACACGGGAAATCCCTGAATTGTAAAACTGAAGCTGAAAGAGAGAGGTTCGCGTTGACACTGAAACCCAGACGCGGAAGAAAGTGCTGACGACCAGAAGAAACCAGTGAATATAAATCTGCAAGGGGAGACCTTAACCAGCCCTTTTAAACCGTGTGCAGAAGAAACAGGGTGTCTACCTTTTGAAAGCAGTCAGGAGCTCTGTGTTCACGATCTTCCTGATCTTTTCAATCTTGGCCGTTTTCATCGTCGCTTTAAAATGCTCACTTATTCTGGTATATTCTATGTCATGGTTACTGAGCTCTACCAACTAAAAAAAATTGTAGACATAAAAACGTGGAACAGGAAACATTTAAGACACTCTACTTCCACGCGTGTGGCCCTGACGCCATTGCCGAGGACAGCAGGTACGCGGGCTTTGGTGGCTGACTCCAGTGACGACCGAGGCGACTCCAGGCCCATCTGTTCAGGCTGCCACGGCTAACGAAGCATTATGCCCCGAGCTGTCTGGTTTAGTCCAGTGACCAGTAAGTCTCTTGCCTAAACCCAGTGTAGGACGGAAACATCAAAGGTGCCCCTGCAGCCCGAGCAAAGCGGCCTGGACCCCAAGCTGAAGCATCACGTGGAGGCTGAACCATCTAGAAGTCTTGTCCCCACCAGGCTGGGTGACCGGGTGAGGCACAGTGTGTGTGACTCCCCTTGAAACCAACTTGTTAGCACCAATGAGTGGACAAGTCAGTTTCACTCTCTGAGTTCTGGTCTTCTCACCCCATAAAGCTGCGGGCATCTATCTATCTCCCGGGTTTTCGGGAGGGTCTGCCCCAGGGAGAACCCATGTGGAACCCGGGGAGAGCGATACAGTCACCGTGTAGCCGCCTGCCTCTGCATCCTGATCCCAGAGTTTTACAAACAAAGCAACTTGTTCTTCCATGCAAACAAATACCTGTTTGTAACAAAGTGCTTTTCCCCATCTTCCGACAATTCACCCGCCAGAAGGTAAAAACCAAAGTACCTCGTATGCATTCGATGAGGTGAAGGATGACTTCCACTGAGAAACAAATGCCGAGGGTAACGTCTCTGGCTGGGTCTGCGCCGGCTGATGGCTGCAAATGAGACAGAGTTAGAATACACTTGGCCCCGTCCCAGATGCCCAGGTACTCCCTGTCCTCGACTTCCTGCTTCTAAGTAAAGCTCTTCCAGATAATTTTTTCATTGTGTTCTTCTTTGGAGTATAGCCCTGCATATTTCTTTTATTTATTTATTTGTTTGTTTATTTATTTAAAAGGGCGTGGAGGAAGAAAGAGATGGGCAGAAATACTGATGTGCGAGAGATACATTGATTGGTTGCCTCCCGAATGCCGCCAACTGGGGACCTAGCCCACAACCCAGGCATGTGGATCGAACCTGTGACATTTTGGTTTGCAGGCTGGCACTCGATCCACTGAGCAACACCAGCCAGGGCTCCCTGCATATTTCTCCTGTAAATATACCAGTAATCATGCTTTTTAATTATTTATTTTCATTTATGTCTTTAATCCTCACCCAAGGATCTGTTGATTGATTTTAAGGAGAGAGGAAAAGAGAGTGGGAGGAACGGAGGGAGAGAAACATCAATGGGAGAGAGAACCATCTGTCAGTTGCCTCTCATACACATCCCGACCAGGGAGTGAACCTGCAACCTGGGTATGTGCCCTGACCAGGAATCGAACCTGCCAACTTTCAGTGCACAGGATGATGCCCCAACCAACTGAGCCACTCGGCCAGGCCAATCACGCTTTTTGAAAATGCAGCAATTATTCAAACTTTGGTGAATTAATTAAATGTTATTTTTTCATTCATTTAAAATGGAAAAGCACTGATTCTTTTTGTACATTTCTGCTCAAAAGCCCTAACACGTCAGCAGTAAGTGTGCCCTTTGCCTTTGTCAAACAATAAACATTTAACTATGTTAAAGGTACAGAGGGAAAAATTCCTGCTGCTTATGATTTTATTTCAAGGTAACCCTAACTCTTCTTTATAGACAAATCACAGCGATTAATTGCAGAGCTGACAGAATTAGGAAAACACCCTCGTGGCCCTGGCTGGTGTAGCTCAGTCAGTTGAGTGCGGGCCTGCGAACCAAAGGGTCGCAGTTAGATTCCCAGTCAGGGCACCTGCCTGGGTTGCAGGCCAGTTCCCAGCAGGGGACCCACGAGAGGCAACCATACATTGATATTTCTCTCCCTGTCTCTTCTCTTTCCCTCTAAAGATAAATAAATAAAATATTTTTTTAAAAAATAAAGAAAAACACCCTTATCTCTTGTGAAATAGTGGTTCTAAACAATGACCATCCACAGCCATTAAAACCACTACGTAGAAGCCCACAGGGAGACTGTGATAACAGAGGGATCAGACTGGAAGGACTTGACCCCATACTCCGGTCTTCATAGACCTCTTCGCCATAACACGTGACAGGAAGTGGAAAACACCGCATGCAGGGTCTGGCAGAAGTAACGCCTGCTCCAGTGTGGGGGGGCAGGGTCCGTGAACGTCTCGCACAAGATGGACAGCAATTTGAAAGTTTCACCTAAAATGTCACGTGGCGTGCTTGAGTGTGATATTGTTATGGTACAGAATGACATGCTTCTGATTTTGTAATACAAGATGTTTATGTGATAAAAAAAAGGAGGTGTTATTTGTGCCAGACCCGGTATATCATTTTTGATAAAAAAGGGAACCCGAATCCCATCAGTCCTTTAAATCTAACCATCGGTTCACAGAAATTACATTCAAATAACCCTATGAGGACACAATTCGCTGTATTTTGAATTTGGGAGATTCTATAGGACAAATCACCTCGTTTGTTAGAAAAAAGTGGAAGAGGGGAAACTGTAATAAATTAAAAGACGCTTAAGAGACAAATCTAGCAAATGAAATATTCATGCCCTATTTTGATACAAATTAGAATAAATCAACTATTAAAAGTCATTTTTGAGACAATGGGAAAAAACAGAACATGAGCTGAATATTAGATATTAAGGAATCATTCTTAATTTTGTTAGCGGGGGGTTAATGGTATTATATTATTTTTAAAACTGTTAGACACACCTGAAGTATTTGCAGTGAAATGATGATGTGTGAAATTTATACATGAAAGTATTTAAGCAAAAGAAAAAATGTCAAGACGAGGGTGGAGACAGGCAAAACAAGAATGGTCGAATATTTCCACTCACTGAGGTTGGGCTTCTCCAGTTAGACCCCCCCAGTAACACATGGGGATTTATTATACAATTTCTCTCTGCTTTCGCTTTGCAGTTTTCCCTTATAAAATCATTAAGTTAAAAAATGCTTTGGGGGGAAAAACTCTTTACTGATCCCCTTTTGTAAAATGAAGATTCCTTTGGAATGAGAGATGAACCCCAACGTATCTGTGCTTTAAACCCAAGATTTCCATACTGAGTTTGCACAGCGCAGAGGGATCAAATCGTGTTGAAGTGCCATCGACAACGAAGTGTGCTACAGAGAGGTCACTCCTCTTTGGACTCTTCGGGATGACACTCACAGCCCGATCTCATCCTAAAGGAAGTGTGTCCCCTCCGGGCTGGCGGCAGCAGGACTAAATCTGGTTCTCTGCGTGACCCACCACTAACAGGGTTTGTGCAGCTCATTTTCATTCACTCACTTAGCCATCCACGTAGCATCACTATACAGTTTGGTGTGCAAAACAGTTCAAGGCCCTTGAGGAGATGAAGACTGTGGAGGGGAAGGAAGAGGAAGGGTGAGTTCCGCTGGGGAAGATGGTTACATAAATAATTACACTATTAGGTAGACTGGGTAAGTACTATAAGAGACGTACGTACTAAGTGGTACTGGAGGAGGAAGAAGAGCGTTGGAGGAGGACAGTGCCAAGTAAGGTTTGCATGGGAAAAGTGGCATTCGAGCTGGGCCATGAAAGATGCTGGATGCGTATGACCGATGGGGCGGATGTTCCCAGAGAAGGGGAAGAGCAAATGGAAAAGCGTGAGGCAAATGTGCCATGTAAACCACTGAGACAGACAATGGGCTGACTCCATGAAGTATCTGGAAATGTCACAGATCAATTCCTTCCCTCGGAAATGTATGGACCCAGTAAGAACCACCCAGCTTGAAGTTAAGAAGGAACTTGGTCTAGGCAGTTTCTGCTACCCAGATAAAGAGCAGTGTATGGTCTCCCTGGGCAACACCCAAGGGGAGTACAAGACTTATTTAAAAGTCAGCCCTGGCTGGTGGGGCTCAGTGGACTGAGCGCGGGCCTGAGTACCAAAGGGTTGCCAGTTCCATTCCCACTCAGGGCACATGCCTGGGTTGCAGGTTCTGTTCCGGGTTGGAGCACCTGCTGAAGGCGAGGACCTGCATGCCCCGCCCCACCCCGCCCGATCTAGAGCAGAACTGGAACCGACCCCCACTCCTGAGGCCCTGACCCAGCCCTGTTCTTCCCACCCTTGGATTCTTGTGAAATGTCTTCCTCATTACACCATGTTTATCCTTTTAGTAAACTCCCTCTTCTGTGAAATGCCTTTCATTCCTACAACCAAAAAAACCTCATTCAAACACCTTGACATGGCACCTGCCTTAAAATCTGTTTCATATCATCACACATTATCCAGGAAAAAAAATCCAACTCCAAAAATGTTCATGAATAACGTAGATTTTACTGAGTTTCACGAGCACACAAAGGAGAGTTACAATAAATCCCCCACAGCACAATTCCCTCTAAAAATCCCCCGCGTCCACTTTATCTTTCCCCAAATCCCCCTGCTCAGGCGGCTACCTCAACCCCTTTGTCCTTCCATTCCCTTCTCAGCCTCCCAACCCTCTATAAATTCTCTCAACAAAACCAAGGATACACACAAGAAACCACAGCAGAACAAAATCTAGCGCATCTGATTATATAGCCTAGGCACACATCATTAATCCGCCACTCACAGCTACTAAAGCTGAGCCCCAGAGTGGCTGAGACCTGCCTGAAGTCCCACGTGAGTTAGAGCAACAGACAGATTTTCTGCTCGAGTATTCTTTCCATCACACCACGCTGCTTAACAAGCAGGCTACTCCCAGGCAAGGCGGAAGGAAAGCGCCATGCAGTGCGAGCGGGAACGTCAGGGGCTCCGGATTCGGGAGTGGCTGGGCGAGGTGGGCGCGCCGCCCCCTCAGGCCTCGGTCAGCACGCAGTGCCTCAGAACACTTACTCTGGCCCAGCTCTCCTCTGCTGCACGGCCCAGGGGGTCACGAAGGTCGGTCTTCTGAGGACATCCTTTTGGGTCTTGGAGGCTACGTTTGTCTGAATCATCCCTTTAGATAGAAAAGAGAAAACAAACAAGAAGAAAGGATTAGCCCTAGAAAATGATTTACTGTTACTTTCCAGAGGCTAATAACACAACCATTACCCATGTCTGACCTGCGTTAAGTATGAACAGAGAAAAGCCTTCTAGACAGAAGAACCTGGATTCCTCACTGCTCCCTTTTATAAGACCCAGGACACAAAGAAGTAAATGAGCATTGAGCAGTTAATCGAATCTTTAAGTCCAAGTCAGATGGAAAAGAAGAGAGCTAGGCTCGGAAGACATCACCCATAGGAGCTGCCCTAAACCAGGCATTAATGATGACAGGACATATCATTATATAACATAATTATACGTCTTGAAGATGTCTTTCTACATCCAGTGTGAAACGTCATCTTTGATTCATGCATGCTGTTCGCCTAGGTCCAAGCTATGTCCAGAGCGATGGCTTGAAAAAGGAAATCACTGTATATTGCTAGTGACCAGCCTGGCAGTGTCCTGTGGACACACACAACCTGTGCGACCCAGCGATCCTACTCCTGAGTGTCACCCAAGAGAACTGACAACCTATATCCATACGCAGTTCCTAGGGGCAACCCAAAACACACATCAAGAGGCGAATGGATAAACAAACCATGTTCTATCCTAATGATGGAATATTACTCAGCAATGAAAAGGGAGGAACTACTATACATCCAACAACACAGCTGAATCTAAAAAAAGAAAACATACTGAGTGAAAGAAGCTAGCTGTATGCACAGTAAACACTATAAGATTCTATTTGTATGATGTTCTAGAATAGATCAAACAAATCTACTGGGACAGAAAGCAAATCAGTTGGCGACAGGGGAAGACTCCTAGCAAAAGAGCACGAGGAAACGGATTGTTGGGACAGGTCTCTACATGATTAGGATAGAAGTCTGTGCATGCGTCTGTGGCAGTTGCAACCTTCATCCAACAGCACGCTTAAAACGCACACACGCATTTCACTGTAGCAATCACGACCCAGTGTAACTGGTGTAAAATGAAAGCAAGCATACACAACAACAAGAGTAAATCTGATCACGGCACAACCTTCTGATTTTCCAAGTTTCGATGTCTGCTCTCATCTCTTGCAGCCACTGTTGCTGTTCTCTGAAACCTTAGGGTTGTCTGCAATTTACAGCTTAAGGACTGGTCTTCCCTCTCCTGAAGGGGGGGCCTCCCTTGCAGAATTTCCTGCCCCCCCCAGGAGTAGGTGCTCTCCCAAGGCTCCTTCATTCTCCTTCTGCTTCACTACATGGCTTCTTCTCTCTATAGCAGCGAGCACTTTCTGGAATCGCCTGGTTTACCCGCGTCTAGGACAGTGCCTGGCACACAGCAGATGCTCCAATGCTAGTTTAATGAATTAGAGGATATAAGGAAGAAAAAAAAGAGTAAAACCCTGCAAACTGCTCTGAACAGCTTTCTCTGAAGAGAACAAAATTACTGGCTATAGTGCTCCCGAATGAGGAACGCGGAACATTGGTTTTCACCTCTCCACCACCTTTCTACATTATCCAAATGATAGACTACCAGCAGAGGATAAAGAATGTTGAGCCCTGGCTGGTGTGGCTCAATGGATTGAGCACCGGCCTGCAAACCAAAGAAGGTTGCCGGTTTGATTCCCGGTCAGGGCACACGCCTGGGTTGCAGGCCAGATCCCAGGTTGGAGGCATGCAAGAGGCAACCAATTGATGTCTCTCTCCCACATCCATGTTTCTCTCCCTCTCCTTCCCCTGTCTCTAAATAGACAAATAAATAAATAAGAATGTTTCATTGAAGCCATTCTTCATTTCACCATCCAAGAGAAGAGACTGTTGTTTCTCTCCACTGCCTTCCTTGGTCCACATGCATAAGCTGCTGATTCCCACAAACATTGAATATCTTTAAAAAATCTTTTCCACTCTAAATACTACAACACACACACAGAAATGTGCAGAAACAGAAGTTCAGGGTCTGCCTTTTCCATTTAACAATATCAGACTTTGATATTGCTACATAGCTTTTACTACAGAGTTTTCATCACCAGAATTTTAACAACTACCCAATACTCCATGGAAATTTAATAACGCAATTTGCTTAGGCACGACCATCCTGGGTCACGGGCTGTTCCTCTGATTTAGAACTTTGATTAGACTTCAGACAAGGCTTCCATGAAGGTCTGCGTGCCTGTAGCTTTTTCTTTTTCTTCTGTGGAACTATTTCCTTAGAAAAATTCCTGAGTGCTCATTCCAGTAGCACGTAGACTGACATCGGAATGATACAGAAAAGATAAGCATAGCAAGGGCGACCCAGAAATTTGTAAAGCTGCTTCATCGCAAAAAAAGAAAGAAAGAGAGGAATGTTCCTTAGAGGATGAAAAAAACAAGCATATTTTAATATCTTTTGATGTGTACTGCCAGGTTGCTTTCCAGAAACGTCAGTATACTACACTATAGTCATTGGTACAGGGCCGCACTGCAGGAGGTGTTATTTCAAGGACTCAAGCAAGTCCCCTTCACCTCTTTCCAAGCACCTACGGGGCCGTTCCTGAAAAATCAGGCATGTGACCATCTGCAGGGAGTGTCCCAGGGGTGCCACCTATGGGACAGCAAGTGCATTCCCAGGGAGGGCAGCTGCTCCCCGGATTTTTCACACAACAAGACAGACAGACAGACCGGTAGAGGCTGACCAGACGACCTTTGCGTGGGGCCTCAGACCAGCACAGCAGAAGGCAGTGTGTTTAGAAACCATGGTGGATGAAACACACCACTGAGCTCGATGACAACATCTGGAAGGATCAGAAAGGTTCTCACACCCAGAAGGGACCCACGGACCCGGGGTCTCTACCGTTTTCATCGGCACCGGAAAATCCTGCCTCAGCCTGGGAAGCAGCAAACTCAGAAGCTGAACTTTAGAATGGTGAGGCAGAGACCACTGAGCCCAATGCCCCCATTTTACAGACGATAAAACGGAGGCCAGGTGCTGCTCCCAGCATGACGCAGTTACTGAGCGTTAGAGCCACAGCTCTAGGGCACAGGCTTCTGACGGCCACGGGCTCCCACACCCCGCACTGCTGGTTTTGCTCACAAGAGCCCTGATTCGGGGATAAACATGCATGTCCCCTCCTGCCAGGCCACCTCGGGCCGGATGCCGGAGTCCGGCACCCCTGCCCAGTGCAAAATCTTACCTTGGAAACTCAGCTCGTAGTTCTGGGAGCCTGCCTGGAACGGCACAATGCTCCTCGGAGAGCACAGGTACAAAGATTCCAGGTATGAAGAGTCGATGCTCGAGATTTGCTGACTGCCTCCCTAATAATAATAAAAAAAAAAAGTAAAGGCTTCGTGGTAGGCTTTTAAGAAATCTCTGCCATTTTATCTTTTTAAAAAATATATTTTATTTCTTTTTAGAGAGGGAGAAAGAGAGGGAGAGAAACATCAATGTGTGGTTGCCTCTCCTGCACCCCCTACTGGGGACCTGGCCTGCAACCCAAGAATGTGCCCTAGACTGGGAATGGAACCGGCAACCCTAGGGTTCGCAGGCTGCCACTCAGTGCGCTGAGCCACACCAGCCAGGGCTCTACCACTGCACCTCACGGAGGGATTTGCACCTCAGCCATGGGATTTACAGAAGAATGCATCTTGCCTCCCAAACCAGATTGTAAAGGTTTCCCTTTGTAGTTTTCTCCATCCCGGGACTAGGAGAGAACGGCCTACCCTGTAGAAGCCACACGCTTGGTGGACGCCTGACAAATACAGTTCTTTGCAAAGATCTTTTTACACCTTCCATAAAGCATGACCCAATCGTACTACTGAGCAACTCAAGACCCAGCGGGTGGACATCGAATCTGCACTGGCTACCAGAATCCAACACTCTGGCGTGAAGGAGACCGTGGTGGCTCCATCAGCCCCTCCCACGATGAGGAAGCAGTGAGAGCTGTAGTGAAGGCAGGTGAGGTTCCAGCAGGTGTACTGCTGACCCAGTGTCAATGACGTATAAAAGACACGAAGAACACCCCCAAAATATAAAGGCATAATCTCTGGTCTCAAGACATTTATGGAGAGTCTGAACATCCATCAGAATGGGCAGGTGAAAAGAAGCACGTTGACTCCGGCATGGGGGGAGGGCTAGGCTGCGGTCCCACCACCCCCATCTACAGCAGGGGCGGCAGCCCAGGGGCAGACTGGATGGAAGCCCCTACTAGCAGGTGCTCCCGCTATTTTTCAAAAATGTTTTATTTATTTTTAGAGAGAGTGGGAGGGAGAAAGAGAGGGAAACATCAATGTGTGGGGAAAACATCAATCGGTTGCCTCTCGCATGCCCCCAACTCACCCCCAACTGGGCACCTGGCCTGCAACCCAGGCATGTGCCCTGACTGGGATTCAAACCTTTTGGTTTTCAGGCCGGCACTCAATCCACTGAACCACACCAGCCAGGGCAACTTCCCGTATTTAATGGTGAGGAAACACTTGTTCCTCACCATTATCGAGAATGGAGGCACTAAGGACAGCAAAATCCTGCCGGCAGCCTGTGGTGGGAGGGGCTTCCAGTCCCTTTGATGAGGTTTCAGAGTCCACAGCTTTTGGCTCCCCCACCCCCGTCCCCTTCCCTAGGGAAATGCTATCAGGATGTTAGGGGAGGGGCACTGCAATGAAAGCCCCAGAGGAAAATGTCCTGGATGGAGAGGGGCCTGAACTGGGTCTCTTCAGCCTGGAGAGGAATATGGTGGGGGCAGAAAAGCTGGGTTCAAATAGCTAGTGCACAGAGGGCAAAGCGGTAATAAGCTTGAATATGTTTCAGCTGGTGGAACCTGGACAAATAGTGGAAGTGGCAAGGAGGCTAATTTCAGCAGAACGAAATGACAGCATCACACCGTGAAGACACTGATTACAAAAGCCACTGAGACGTTACGGGTCAGCACGATGGCACTGGTAAACCATAGGCCTTCCTCAGACCCCCAAGAGCCGCCCAAGTGGGCAAACACCTGCCAGCACAGGTGAGGGAGAGGCAGCCGTCAGCTCTACGCACCCTGATTGGACCACTCACATCTCTGCCCTGACCGCCCGTCTCACAGCTCACGCCCTCCATCCCTCCACTGCCTGCTCGGCTCTGCAGCACCCTGTTCCTGGCTGGGAGGCATCTACAAAGCTCTAGGCCAGAGCCTTTCAGCCTTCTGTGCACATCTAAATCACCCAGGGATCTTGACACGACACAGATCACGATTCAGGGGAAGTAAGGGGAAGACTTTAAATTCTGCATTCTGAACAGCTTCGAGGTGATGCTGATGTTCCTGGTCTGTGGGCCTGACCCTGACTATTCAGGCTCTAAAACCCGGATCAGTGCTATTCGCTAGAACTTTCTACGATGGTGGAACTGTTCTCTGCATGGTCCTGTGTGGTGGCCACCAGCTACAGATTGGCAACAGAGTGCGTCAAGTGTCAATAATGTGACATGGGACTGAGTCGTTCATTATATTTACATTTAACTCATTTAAGTCTAAAATAAAATAGCCACTAGTGACTGGTAAGTGTCACACTGGACAGAACAAAGACATTAAAAGTCAAGGCTGAGCATCTGGCCGGCCTAGCACAGCGGCTCACTTGGATCTTCCTCTGGCCCGGCCTTCACACCGTACTCCAGTTCTGAATGAACAAATGAATGAATGAGTGAGCATTCAATGATTTATTCTCCCAGAAGACCTAAATGCACATCTGTCTCAGTGCCCAGGTCTTGGCTCTTGTCCTGTGTGTCCACATCAATGCCTTGATCTTGGCTTTCCAGAGCTACGGCTTCCCCTTGCCTTGAGCAATTCTCTCGGCCAAGGTCGCCTGCTCCACCTCCCCGGACGCCAGCTTTCACAGCTACTGAGCTTAGCTACCTGCTGGTAAATATCTCAGAGGGTCTGGGTCAGCACCCCCTGCCGGGTGCAAAGCCCACGGCGACCAGGCTCGTCCTCCTGTCACTCCCGCTGTCATTCCGTCTCACACCATCACCATCGCTGCCCAAACGCCTGTCTATTCAATCCTCACTTCTCCCATCACACCGTCCTCTCTCTGTCTACCGTCCTCGTCCATACAAGTCCTGGTTAAACACCTCATTTACATGGAAGGACATTAAGTCTATCTTCCAGAGAGTTCACTGTCAAAGCGTATGTACCATCTACCCTTCCTTGGTGAAAGTTTCTATGCTCCCAGTTCCTGCTAGGGAGTGACTGAGCCGGAAATCTCCACGGTCCAACTCTTACTATTCAGTTGCAAGAAATAAAACCTGTAGAGCCCCGTCTGAAGATAACACTTTCTACCCTGTGCACCGGATAGAACCAGGCCGTCAAAAGGCTGCAAACTGGGACTGTAACAGGCCGATCTGCCAGAGAAACCAGGCTGCCCACAGTGTGTGCGTTCAAATCTGCCGGAACCACCATTTTTACTTTCACTGGACAGCCAGCCAGGGAAACACCAAGTCCAGGGCCTGTTTTTCCTTTTTTTTTTTTTTAAATAACAGAAGAGCCAGCTTAATTTATATAATGATGGTTGTAATTAATATAAGACAGTATGAATTTATCTACATCTTCAAAAACATTTCCTATAGCAGACAAGTGAACCATTGAGACCTACGATTTATCTTTATTTTAACCAAAGCTAATTAACTTGACTTTATAACTTCTACTTTTCCAGGCACCTCACAGAATCACTTTTAAAAAACTGCACTTTGAGCCCTGGCTGGTGTGGCTCAGTGGATTAAGCACTGGTCTGCAAATGAAAGGGCCACTGGTTCAATGCCCAGTCAGGGCACAAGCCTGGGTCCCTAATAGGGGGAGCCTGAAAGGCAAGCACACATGGATGTTTCTCTCCCTCTTCCTCCCTCCCTTCCCCTCTCTAAAAATAAATAAAATCTTTAAAAACAAAACAGTTGGCACCAAAAGGTTAAAGGTTCCGTCCCTGGTTGGGGCACACCAAGGAGGCAAACAGCAATGTTTCTTCTCTCTCACACTTATGTTCCTCTCCCTCTCTGTCTCTCTTCTCAGGTGAGGGTTAAAAAAAAAAGAACTTTTACAAAGGCCAACATCATGGGAATGTTCACCCCTAGATGCTCCAAAGGGCACAGCAGCGGAGAGGAGAACAGAGAGGAAGCGGACCAGACACCAGGCCCTATGTCCACATCCTGCTGCCACAGGCACCTGCGTGACTCCAATGTCCTCCCGGAGGCGCCGGGAAAGATGGCTGGACAGGACAGCCAGGAAAGCGCCGTGCTACGGGAGTGACAGTGGGGCTCTTGTTGGGAACCTCACTTGCCACAGTACACACGGTCCCCCTGCGTGGCCCCAAAGCAGATGTTCTTCTTAGGCCCCATTAACAGAAGAAAGTGGCGCTTCTCCTGAGGCGGAACTGGTGGGTTCTTCCCAAAGGGACGCAGGGGATCTTGTAACAGCTTGTGTTTCTCTGCTCGCGTGGGCAGCCGGGCAGCTCAGAGCGCGAGCCAGAGCGAGAGCCGCGGCCCCCACACTTCTAACCACGTCGAACCTTACGCGGGCGCTCCCCAGTCCCAGCTTTGTCTTTATTTTAACCTCTTGCTTTTTTACTTTAACCTCTTTCTCGTCACTCTGCTTTCACTGGCTACTTTAAGTGTGCGTCCTTTTCCTCTCTCTTTTCATTCCTATGAATCAGAAAGAGGAAGGGCCACTAGACAGAAGCTCTGCTCAGCTAAACGTGTCTGTCGCAAAATGTCCCAGGTCCAGTCTTTCAGTCCCTCTGAATCCAGACTCTGAGTCCTAGTCAACAACTGTATCAGTTTTCTGATTCTTCCTTTCGCCTCTTTCCTGGGTGGAGGCAGTAATCTCTGTACGTTTATGTACAAACACACAGAAAGCTGTCTCAAGGTTCTACCCCAGTCCTTGACAGTGAGAAATGGGGAACAAGCAGCTGACTCACATCTCAAGCAATTCCTTAGAAATAATGAGTAGCCCTGGCCAGAGAGTTCAGTTGGTTAGAACATCAACCCAAATACGCCAAGGCTGCCGGTTCGATCCCCAGTCTGGGTACATATAGGACTCAACCAATGAATGTATAACTAAGTGGAATCCCAAATCAATGTTTTTCTCTCTCTCTCTCAAATCAATTTTTAAAAAATTAGAAATAATAATAATATGTTTTTGTTTATGGCTGCAGTCAGAGTACATGCTCATGAGAACGATGTAAATACGACTGTGTAAAATATAAAAAGTGCCACTTCTTCCACCACGCCCACTCTCCGTGGGTAACCAGGGAGACATCAGACATTTCAGCAAGGACACGGGAGGGATGGAACACACCTGCTCCCCGTACTGAACCCATCTGTTGGAGCCGCTCCTCCAGTACCAAATCCATTTTGTGGCGAAGGCGTTGTTTGGCATCGTGACGGACGATGGCGTGGAGATCCGTCGGATGCGATTATGGTTACAAGTCATCTTCTGGAAGTTCAGTTGCAAAGTTCCGATAGAAACACTGAGGGGAAAGTGGAAGGTTAGCCAACTGACCCCTGAGTTCTGCAGTCCGGGGTTCCCTAACGAAAGCACGGAATTAAAATTTTAGAGCTGCAAGAGATTTTCGGACTTTCTGGCTACCGCTGTCAGTCTGACACACACAAAAAAAAAGAAAGAAAAAAACGGAAATACACAGAGGTCACGTCACTTGCCTATACCCCATGTATAGAACGGGGTCACAAAACGTATTCTTTCCTCAAAAACTGTCCCAAATACAACTGTGCCCACAAAAATCGAACTCAGTGTTAGAAAGTGAATTAGAAACTCACCGTAGGTGAGTTTTTTCTATTGTAATAATTTCAATAGTTATCCAAAAACCTTTTCAGGGAGCCAGCAAGGTCACTGTTATTTTCATGACGTTAAGACATTATTTGCCTTTTCCACTTGCGCCCTCTTGCAGGTGCACAGTTGAGTTTCCAAGTGGTGACATCGTGTGGGATTGACAACAGATTTCCAAAAATATAAGTGTGAGTTAAATATAAAATGTAAAAGATATAGAAATATATATTTATAATGCAACGTAAGTATATGATATAAATATATTTATATTCCTATGTATTGTTAATATTTATATAAATAAATGCAAATTATAAAATATAAAACAATGTCATTCTCAATAAATATTTTTGTTTTGTTTTGAGAAAGTTATTATTTAGTTATACATTATCTACAGGTATACCTACATACATATAACTCTATAATTATACAAATATAGTTATGCAAAATGTTATATTAACATGGAATGAGCGGATTACTTTTAAATGAGTTGTTATTTCATGTTTCTCAGTTTTAGTTTGTATAATGATAACTAGATAGCTATAATTCACATAAACAGAAGCTCCTTGGGATCCTCAATACATTTTCAGACTGTAGAGGGGCCCTGACACCAAAAAGTTTGAGAATTACTGCTCCCCGTAGCACCCCATAATCAGTGGTTCTCAACCCGGAACGATTTTTGTCCCCCTGGGGACATCAGCAATGTCTAAACACATTTTGGTTATCACAACTGACATCTAGTAAGTAAAGGCCAGGAGTGCTGCTAAACCACCCCCTCCAAAAAATCAATAATTATCTCCCCCAAGTACACAGTGCTCAGGTTCCAAAATCTGCTTCAGATTTACCTGGGGGGGAGAAAAAAAAAATCACTACAAACAAGAAAATAGCTGATGGCACCCTCTAGTGGCCAAATGCAGCAAAAGCATCTCCACCAAAAAGTCACTGAGCTTGCAGATGATGAAACACATATAATATTCCTTATTAAACTAGGAAACATCGTATAACTATGGTCATTAGGAGGTATCACCCATTTTGGCCCTGACAGAAACCGAAATATCAGGTAGCCTCTAGATGCCTCTACTAGAGAGAAAACCGCAAACATAAAAAAAGTTATGAAACCCTAAAGTATCCAACAAAATTCTGCACGAGAACTGTATGAAATCGTTCAAAGCATGTTCTAAAACTACAGCATCAAGCCAAAGGCTCTTTTGAGGTAGCCTTTACTAATTGTATCATGAGCTGATAGGAATATAAACCGACCTCTGCTTATCTGTCATTACGTCATGCAGATAAACACAAATATTCACTAAACATATCATGGTGTCTGTTTACTTTGCGTGCATCAGCAAATATTCTCCGAATCTCTAGTATTATCCAGGCTCTGCCTGACTTCCAATTGGCCCTTTTTTTTTTTTCATTAACTCAGTAAGCGTTTGTCGTTTTTATCTCAAACTTCAACAACTTGAACGGGATTCTGAAGGAAAATGTTTTTTCTCTTCCCAGAAGCCTAGCAGTATACTTTCCTTCGATGCTGATGTGAATCTCACAAGCCACAGCCCTGCCACCAACTTACTCGCTGAATCCGGGGTTACAATAGGCCTTCTCGATATTCTCCATGGGCTGGAGGTCCACCCAGGTGTTTTTCATTGACATCTGCCACCGGTAGGGCAGGTGGAAGTGAACTTTGTTGCAGTCTTCTACAAAGACAAAAAGGAGGTCTGAGGGTGGGCTGAGCGGGGGTCCTAACCACTTCAACCAAGTTCATTGCTGACTTCCCCATCAAGGCCTGCGTTTCCCATCCGGCCAGCCCTGCATGCAGGGCACATTCTGCCGACACCTTCGCTCACACCAGTTACTGCCCGCGTGTCCCCATATCCCCATCTCCAGGTGCCTTTATTACCCAGAGACTCATCAGGAAACAGAAACTCCCCATTCCCCAAAGAGTCACTTCACCCACATGAAAATCTGATGTCATATTAAATTTACAGGTACCCTTCCTGCACCTCCTGGGTGGGCATATGGGGACAAACGCTCCCCCGTGCAGGCCACCGCCCGTCCTCCCTTAAAACCCTGGCCCCCCATTTGTGGAGAGTCCCTCACACGCCTCTCCCACCTCTGATCTGATTTGCATTTCGCCTTCCCATAGCCAGCACTCAGCACCCAGTTTGTGCATTTTCATTTGTGTGTTTACTTATTTTATACAGTTTTCGCACATGGGGATATTTCTGATGTCCCACCATAGCTACAAACTCACTGAAGGGCCATTTACGTCACTGCTTAGCTTGCGTCTCCCTTGCACGACCCACACTCGGCTGGGCAGGCAAAAGACGGGCATCTGATCAGTGCTTGCTGAACAATGAACTAATGTTATAGGGCCGTCATACGGGAGTACGTAAAATAGTTCCACTGTTCACAATGTTCATGATGTTACGTTTAAATGTTCTGCTACATTTGGACATCTTGAAATGTCCAAAAGGTGTGTGAATATTTTAAAACAAGAGGAGACAGGTGTGGACACCAAAGGGAAACCCAGAGTGGCAATGACTGTGATTTGCTGATTCAAAAGTATGTAACCATTTGCTCATTATATTTCATACCAGAATGGCTGCTATGAAGGAAGGAAGGAAGGAAGGAAGGAAGGAAGGAAGGAAGGAAGGAAGGAAGGAAGGAAGGAAGGAAGGAAGGAAACAAGCGTTGCAGAGGATGTGGAGAAACCGGAACCCTTGTGCTCTGCTAATAAAAATATAAAATGTTGTAGCTGCTGTAAAAAATGGCATGGCAGCTCCCCCCCCAAAAAATTAAACATAGAATTGCCACATGACCCAGCATTCCCACCTCAGGGCACACATCCAAAAGAATAAAAAACTGGGTCTCAAACAGATACTCACACACCCGTGTACACAGCAGCATTATTCACAATGGCCAAAAGGTGGCAGCACCCCCAGTGTCCATCACTGGACGGATAAACACAGTGGGATATTTACAAACACTAGAGGATTATTTAGCCTTAAAGTGACACAGTGACCCATGCTACAACATGGATGACCCTGGAGAACATCACGCTAGGTGAGATAATTCAGTGTCGCAAAAAGACAAATACTGTGTGATCCCACTCAGGAGGGACACAGACTAGTCAAAGTCAGAGAAACAGAAACTAGAACGACAGTTGCCAGATACAGGAAATGAGGAAATGGGGAGCTCGTTTCATGGGTAGAGTTTCAGTTTTTTACTATGAGGGCTTCCGGAGAGTGGTCACACAACAATATGAACACAATTCACACTACTGAACTTAACAACAAGTAAGATGGGGAAAAACTATGTTATATGTATTTTACCACAACGAAAAAGAAAAACAAAATTTTAAGCTACAGGCTTTTGACTTCGAGAACACAGGGCACTGTTCTGATGACAGGGCTGGAGCGTGACAGCCGATTCCCTGTGGAGTCGGGACTTGAGCAGGGCCTGCTGCAGCTGAGCAAACGTCAGGGTCCCCTCATTCAACACAAAAACAAAACAAGAGCCACCATGCTCCCTGGTATGGAGACATTTCCGAGCTACAAAGAACCTACGGGAAGATGGAGGCGTAGATAAAAGGGGCTTGCCTCCTCCCACAACCACAGCAAAATTACAACTAAAGTATAGAACAACCATCACTCAGAACTGTCAGAAAAATCAAACTGTATGAAAGTCCAACAACTAAAGAATTAAAGAGGCCACATTCATCCAGACAGGTAGGAGGGTTGGAGGGTCGGAGGGTCGGAGGATCGGAGGCGCCCCATCCAACTTACAGGCCCACCCAAGCAACCTTCCCGTCCACCGAGGCAACAGTGGCTTTTCCATATGAAGGGCCAGGCTGGGTGCAGGCTTCAGACCTTCCTGAATCCGCTCGAACACGGACAGCTGAGCCCAGCTCCGAACCTCTTGTTGAGTGGCCCCAGGCCCAGCACTAGCAGCTGCCATTTGCAGATCACTTTACAGCTTACGCCAAGGGGCCCAGATAGACCACGGATGAAGGCTGACCTTGGCCTGCACCACTCAGGAAACCCAGAGCCTGTGCCCCCAGGGGACAGTAAGAGACCACTTCGGAGCACCATCCAACCATCTCCACAAGCCACGGAGGGGGGTGGTTGCTGGTCAGGGGTCACAGCCAGTCCCGCCAGCTGACTGGCCCGGGCAAATCCATCCCACTGACCTGCTGGCAGCCATCAAGACTCATCTACAAGACGACAGTGTACTTGGCCTACATGGACGGAGCTCCTTGAGGACACAGCCTGGGAGATAGGGGAGGCTGTGCCTTTGGACCACACAGGACAGCTACTACATTAGGCCACGCTACCAAGGCATAGCAGCTCTACCTAATATATAGAAACAAACACAGGGAGGCTGCCAAAATGTGAAGACAAAGAAACATGGCCCAAGTGAAAGAACAGACCCAAACTCCAGAAAAAGAGCGAAAGAAAATGGAGATAAGCAATCTCTCGGATGCAGATTTCAAAACATTGTTTACAAGGATGCTCAAGGAACTCAATGGGCCCTTTTAACAGCATAAAAAAGATCCAGGCAGCATAAAAAGACCCAGGCTTAATTGAAATAAAGAACAATTTACAGGACATCAACAACGGAGTAGAAGAAGCCAAGGATCAAATCAATGATTTGGAACATAAGGAAGAAAGACACCCAATCAGTACAGCAAAAAGAAAAAAGAATCCAAAAAATCAAGGATAGTGTAAGGAGCCTCTGGAACAACTTCAAATGTTCCAACATTTACCTCATAGGGGTGCCAGAACAGAGAAAGAGCAAGGAATTAGAAACCTATTTGAAAAAAAAATAAAGGAAAACTTTCCTAATTTGGTGAAAGAAATAAAACAGACACACAAATTCAGGAAGCACAAAGCAACCCAAACAAGATGGACATAAAGAGGACCACACCAAGACACATCATACTTAAAATGCCAAAGGTTAAAGATAAAGACAGAATCTTAAAAGCAGCAAGAGAAAATGAGACAGTTACCTACAAAAGAGTTCCCATAAAACTGTCAGCTGATTTCTCAAAAGAAACCTTACAGGCAAGAAGGGGCTGGCAACAAGTATTCAAAGTGACGAAATGCAATGACTTACAACCAAGATTATGCTACCCAGCAAAGCTATCATTTAGGATCAAAGGGCGGATAAAATGCTTTGCAAACAACGTAAAGCTAAAGGAATTCATCACCAAACCACTATTCTTATGAAATATTAAAGAGACTTATTTAAGAAAAGGAAGATCAAAACTATGGACACTAAAATGGCATAAATACATCAACAACTGAATCTAAAAAGCAAACTAAGCAAACAAGCAAAACAAAAACAGAATCACAGACATGGACAACATTGCGACGGTGGCTGGTGGGGAGGGTGGTCTGGGAGAATGGGGAGAATGTGAAGGGATTAAGAGGTACAAACTGGTAGGTACAGCATAGACAGGGGGATGTTAAGATCAAGTATAGGAAATGGAGGAGCCAACCAACTTATATGCATAACCCACAGATATGAACAAAGGAGCAGGGACTGCCAGAGGGAGTGGTGGGTGCTGGGTGGAGATGGGTAAAGGGGGAACAATTGGGACAACTGTAACAGCAAAAACAATAGAAAAAGAAAAATGAGAGAGAAAACACAGGGCAGAATCCTCCTTTTTGAGACACAAGGCAAACGAGTCTAAAACCACTCAGTAAGCGACCAGGCAACTGAAATCAGACATAATGTCCAAGCCTGGGACAGAGGTACAAAGGTGAGGCAGTGACATAACAGTGAGAAGACAGGAATTTGTCCCAAGCACCGTCCCCTGGGAATCATTTCTATAGGGAGCCCTGTGGGAGGGAACAGTGATCAGGCATGGCTTTTCAAGTAGAATGACAAACAGATCACTGGTTGTGTGGGGCGCAAGTCTCTTCAGTACACGTGGCCCAGGAGATGCCTAAATAATGACAGGAAATGAACCTGGAAATGTGTCTGCTAGGATCCCTTTGTTTTTGGAATTTGTTGTTGGTTTAAGCAAACCAACATGAAATGTACCCCCTTAGTGCATGTACCCCCTTTTAGTACATGAAAGATGGGTCCCTGATTAAGTATAATAGTTCAGCTAAAACTTAATTGCAAAAGAACAAAGTACAATATCATGCACTGGTGAAGAACACAGGCAGGCTGAACAGTTTAGGGTCAAATATCCCAACTAGCTACTTGTGTATGTAAGGTTTTAATATCTCCATGCCTCTGGTTTCCACATCTGTACAATGGTTCAGGACAGAACCTACTTCTCGGGTGATGTCAGGTTACAAGCTACATGTAAGGTTCTTAGCATGGTGCCTGACCTATAGCAAATGCTCAGTAAATGTTAGTCCTATTACTGTTAATAGCTTCTGCGTCAAGAAAGACCTTAAGTTACTCACTAAGTTGACAGCACTTATTCAGATGGTCAAGACAAATTTCCTCTGAGCTGTGACCATCCAAGTCACATGCGATGTCACGCAGGGAATCTGTAAGACAAAAGAGGATGTATGTATGCCGATTTGAATGTTTAAACCAAGACCCAAGGTACCTGATCTCACAGAGGGAAAGAATATCTGAAACTGGACCATGGTCAAGAAAAATCTGTGATTGATGGGTTGCTCACGACAAGCCCTCCAGAAAAGCAAACATGAACATTAGGGTATATGAGAGTTATGTTGATTTCTTAAACCACCGTCAAACTATTCGTGTTCTCAATAAAGGTAGCAGTTTACTCTATACTCCAGTACTGGCTGGTCCTTCCATGTCAGTTGGTCCTTCTATGTCAGTCTCCTCACCAGTACCACTCCCCTCACCCCAAACCCTCTAAAACTTGATGCACTTTAGTAACTGCTGGGGGACATCCAGAAAGAAACCACCAGCCACAGCTGTCCCACTGCACACACAAGACATGGGGCCCCCTCTGCCCTTCAGCGACTTACTCAGAACACAGTCTGGGGTCTTCCTTGCAAGCTTATTGGCAGAGGTGACAGAGATTTTAACAGAGTTCTGGCCATAGGCCTCACAGGCTGCAGCTCCATTGCTTGAGGATGGTGACAAAGGCAGAACCTTGGGCGCAGAGCTGACTTTTGTGGGGCCGGTGGTCTCCCCAAGGGTGGGCAGGAGCTGGGTTCTCAGATTCTGACTTGCGGAGCGCAAGGCATCGTTATCCGCCCTGGCGGCCGATGTGAAGCCAAAACCAGTGGCACCAGTAGTCTCACAGGCAACTTTGCCTGGGCCATTCGGTGTGCTCTGGCCTGGCTCACCAGCCCGGAACACCTTCTCTCCGTGTTTACTGTCATCCGGCAGGAGGGTGTTGAGATGAGGGTGAGTGGCTCCACTTTCCTGATTCCAACGCAGCCATTTTTCTCTCTCTCTGAGGGTTGCAGTTCTGTAACTTAAAGAACCCGTGGAAGTGGTATCTGTGGCCATTCCATCAAAATTATTACTAAAAAGCTGGAAATGCTGGACATCTTGACTCCCACTTTTGCCCTCGATCTTCACGTGGCCTGAGGAATGCATGCCCGCACTCTTACTGGTGGTTCCAGTTTCACCGCTGGCGTCTGGGTCGTTCGGCCAGTACATGGGGCCCTTCCAATTGGGAGCTGATGCGAAATCAGAGGCGGGCGGAGTGCCGCCGTGGCTGCCGTACAAGAGGCCCTCTAGACTGCCGTTCTCCGAAAACCTCTGGCTTCCTCCCACTTGCCCAGCTCCTCCGAGGTTGGCGGCCTTAGAAGAAGCCGAGGAAGGCTGAGGGCCATCTTGACTTCCCAAATGCGCGAACTTGAAGGTGAGATCGTCGACAGGCCCGTTGTCCGGGGGGGACCTGCGGCTAATTAGATCTGGACTGGGTGTGTCGCATCTCTCGGTCGGATCTGAGACGGGTGCGAGAAATTCATGGCCGCCCTGGAAGAATCGATCTCTACTCTTGCTTCGACCTCGATATGCCGCGTTGCCTCTACCCCTGCGAGCCGCGTCCCGACGATGGGCCGGAGGAGCTAGCAAGAGACAAGGACAATGAAAACAGGTGTTACCGTGACTGAGTTCTTACCACCGATCCTTCTCGGCTTTTCCAGGCTTGCTATTAAATGACCCGTCCTGCGAGTACAATATGTGAAAATCCTGAGAAGGAAGGGATCCTGCTATTATGTTGGGGCAGCAGGAAACAGCTGGCCCTGGCTGGCTCTTGTCAGCTTCTCTCCTGGGACTCAGATGAACCCCTGAAGCCCCCCAACTCTTAGTTGGGGCTGCCCACCACCACTGTGGTGAACGGAGAGACAGACCAGTGCAGATGAAAAAGGATTTCTCCCAAATCATCTCATTTTGCCCCTACTGTGAGACTGGTGTCACGAACAAGTTACAAATTCACAAAACTTAAAACAAAAAGAATGAAATGACAGTGTCAAGGTCAAATTTCACTTCAACTAGAAAATTTCCCTAAATTCTTCAACAAGCCCTAGCCCCCACCCACTCACCGAAACTCAAGAGGGCAGCAGCAAAAAGAACTGTCCTCTCTAGAAACCTGAGTCAGGAGGGACTGCGTGACATACAGGAGTTTGGGAGGGTGTGTGAGGTGTGTGCATGTGGTGTGCAGGTGTGCTATAGAGTTGGTGTGTGATGTGCATGTGTGGTGAGTGCCGTGTGCACTGAGTGTGTCCGTGAGGGGTGTACAAATTGTGTTGGTGTGGGGAAAGGGGGGAAGGGAGGTCCTTTCTCTTCCAAACCCAGAGGGCAGCAGAAACGTAGTAAAAGCAAACACCCTCCTCCTGTCAACAAAACAGTTAATTAAGTAGATTAACTGGAGTGATAATAAAGATCTCTCTTGCATACAATAAATTCGTACTGGCATAGACACAGAGAACAGAATGACGGTTGCCAGAGAGCCGGAAGGGTTAGGGAACTGAGCAAAAAGGGTGAAGGATGACGGCTAGTTTGCGGGGGACAGAGGGACTAAGCAAGAAAGAAAAAGGACTCGTGGACACAGGCAACAGTATGGTGACTGCTGGGTGCTGGGGGTACAAGGAAACTAAATGGTAATAGAAAAAATACAATAAAGATTAAATTTAAAAAAGAGGAAAAAAAAGAAAAGGGCAAAGGAATTGAGAAGTACAGACTGATAGTACAAAACACTCATGAGGATGCAAGTCCAGCACAGAGATTACAGTCGATGGTACTGTAATAACTCTGCACAGTGCCAGGTGGGGACCGGAAGTACCGGGGGGATCACTTTGTAAAGTATGAGATTGTCTAACTACTATGCTGTACACCGGAAACTAATACAAAATACTATTTTTAAAAATAAATGAATGAAATTCCTATTGGGAAACTCCACCAAAACGCATTCCTCCAGATGGTCCCCTGCTGAGAAAGCATTGGAGGTGGGGGGGCTGAAAACATCAGATGCTGAACCAGGGCACAACAGCTCTTGAAAACATCATGTTTATCTATTCACAGAATGACCCCTCACTCTTCTAAAAATGATTTAAGGCTGCTTGTAATAAAACTCACTTAGAATTTCCAGGACTCGGCTTCCCCATCCTTTAAGCGAAGGCTTTCTTCGTGCTATGGCCGTGAGGGACGACGGGGACATATTGTAGGTAAACGCCCTCACTGTGTAAACTATGAAGCATTTCTCAAATATAAGGAGGTTTCATTGTTTATGATCTCTTACAGAATCTTAGAATTATGTCTTCTCTGTGGCTCACAAAATACATCTCTTCAACATCCAACCCACAGAGATTAAAAACTGCAAGTGTTCATGCCATTAAACAATATAAAAGGGCTTAAGAAACAGTACTCTTCATTCTATACCCATTACGATGGCTGTTATTCTAAAAAAATAAAATAAAACAGAAAATTAAAAGGGATAGAGAGGAGGGAGAGGTACCAGAATCCTGGAGCATTGCTGGTACGATGTAAAATAGCACAGCCACTATGAAAAACAGTATGGAAGTTCTTAAAAAAAGTTAAGCATAGAATTTCCATGTGACCCAGCAATTCCACTGAGTATAGACACAAAAGAATTCAAAGCAGGGTCTCAAAGAGATATTCGTACACCCATATTCAAAATGGCATTATTCACAGTAGCCAAAAGGTGGAAGCACCCCAAGTATCCATTGGTGGATGAGTGGATAAACAAAATACGGTGTATACCCACAATGGAGTATTATTCAGCCTTAATGAGGAAAGGAATTCTCAGACCGGCTACAAAGCAAATGAAGTTGGAGGACATTATGCAAAGTGAAATAAGACAGTCACAAAAAGGCAAATAATTCCACTCATGTGAGTTACTTGGAGTAGTCAAGCCCTGGCTCGTGTGGCTCAGTGGATCGAGTGCCAACCTGTGAGCCAAAGGGTCACTGGTTCGATTCCCAGTCAGGGCACATGCCTGGGTTGAGGGCCAGGTCCCCAGTAGGGGGCACACAAGAGGCAACCACACATTGATGTTCCTCTCTCTCTCCTTCTCCCTCCCCTCCCCTCTGTCTAAAAATAAATTAATAAGTAAATAAATCTTTTTAAGAAATAGAGCAGTCAAATTCATAGAAGCAAACTAGAATGGTGGTTGATAGGAACTCAGAAAAGGAGGAAGTGGAAAGTGATCGTTTTAATGGGTTTTGCTTTTGCAAGATGAAAAGAGTTTGGAGAGTGGTTGCACAACAACTATACATTAAGTGTATTTTTACACAAATCTTTAAAATGTTACTCCTGGCCGGGGAGCTCAGTCGGCTGGCGCCGTCATCCCCACACGCCAAGGTTGTGGGTTTGCTCCCGGGTCCGGGCACACACAAGAAGCGACCAATGAATGAACAAGTAAGTGGAACAACAAATCAATGTCTGTCTGTCTCTCTCTCTCAGAAAAAAAAATCAATAAATAATTATTTCACTTAATATATACAAAAACTGGTTAATAAATTTTTTTTAAAGGAAGGTAATTCTGACATGCTATCACAGGACTGGATGAACCTTGAAGACATTATGCTTAGTGAAATAAGCCAGTCACAAAGAAAGACAAGGACCCTATGACGTCACTACTATAAGGTTCCCAGAGTAATTGTGTTCATAGAGACAGGAAGTGAAGTGGTTGCCAGGGGTGGCGGTGGGGGGAGAGGGGGGAGGGGGAGAGAGGATTTGAATTTGTTTGGGACGATGGAAAAGTCTGGGAGACAGCCAGTGATGATGCTCACACGATAATGCAAATGTACTTAACGCCATCGAACTGTCTTAAGGATGGTTAAAACCATCAACTGTCTCTTCTATTTTACCAGTTGAAAAATAAAAACAAACAAATTTTTAAAGAAAAGTGCTGAGGACAATAAATTAAATTGCATATGTTAATGCTAAGTTTCCTGTAGTGACTGTACTGTACTGTAATTTATGTAAGAGAATGACCTGGTTCTGCAGAAGCACATGCCGATATATTCAGGAGTCTGAGGACTCCACACCTCAAACACTTTCAACACAAAAATCGGGGTGTGTGTGTGTGTGTGTGTGTGTGTGTGTGTGTATCTATACAGACATACACAGAGAAAGTGATCAAAAAATTGTGACAGAAGGTGAACTGGTAAATCTAAAAATATTTTTTTCATTTTAAAAAAAAGCTTTATCAAGTAGCTTTTAGAAAAATGCTAAGCATTTTTAAAAACCTGGTTGGGGTGGGGGGAATCATGCTGGGCATAGAAGGCAAATGGCAAAATCCCATATATACCACGATTGTACAGTGGTGGGCAAAGTAGGTTTGGCATCCTCAGTTGTGAGAATGCAAAACAGTTTATTCTTGTGTAATTATTTATTCCTTACTGTATTATTTTTCCCCAACAACTGTAAGCCTACTTTTGCCCACCCTGTAATTATGTAAAAAACACAGACGAGGTTGGAAAGGGAAAATGAGTTTTCTGTGGTGAGGCAGAGACACTGCAGGGAGCCCTTCCTCCCTCGTGATGTCTCTTTACCTCTGACCGCCTGAGTCATTAAAACGTAAGCACCATTCACCTCGAAGCCCGTGTTTCTTCCGGCTGTGCTTGTGGTTGCAGATGTCCTGGATGTTTTGCACCACGTCCCCACTCAGGCCGTGCTCCCTCATGGCCGCCAGCACCTTCCTGTCCATCAGGTTATGAGACCGGAGGCAGTTGGCGTAACTGCAATTCCCCCGGGTGAAGTGTTCGCAGATGTGCAGCCTTTCACACGGTGGCTGCTGGTCACAGATCTGTCCTCGACCTTCTCCCTTGTAACTTTTGCATATCTACAGAAAAGAGAACAGCGGAGACAAAACACTTTTCTCTATCTGCCGCACATTCGTTAAGGAAAGTCCGACTATCCAAACATTTCTGAAGCAAGCAGCGATATACCAAAGGGAAAAAAAATGCATGCATATTCCATAGTCTTTCATGAATTATATTCAACTGATTGTTCGCTGGGGGCAGAGAAGGCCTGAGGACTCTCTAAAAGAAACGCGAATTTGATGCTTTGGAAGAATCAAAGTAAGGTTGGCCAGCTACAGACGGGATCAAATAGGACCCAAAGTGAGCCCTGCATTATAAGGGCACCCCAAAGAGGAAGGCCCACCTCTGGATGTCAACTCATTCCGCAATTAAAGGACAGGTTGATCTTACCTGCTACTGTTGAAAATCCAGACCCCGGTCTCTGCTAGGCAGAATGTGGATCAGCCAAGAAAGATAATTCTTATATGTCTATGTAAATATACATATCTACATATCTACAAAGATGTAACTCTTTATCTACGGGGATGTAGTTGTTATGGGAAGGAGGGCAGAAGATATGTTATGTCTGAGACCAGACCATGTAATGCAGGACTGGAAGACATTAGTTTAAAAGTCTACAACCTAGTCCTGGCCGGATAGCTCAGTTGGTTGGAGCGTCATCCCATACACCAGAAGGCTGCGGGTTCGATTCCCAGTCAGGGCACATACCTAGGATGCGGGTTCAGTCCCGGTCAGGAAATGTACAGGAGGCAACTGATCAATATTTCTGTTTTTCCCTCTCTCTCCCTTCCTCTCTCTCTAAAATCAATAAACATATCCTCAGGTGAGGACTAAAAAAAATAAAATACAAATAAATAAAAGATCAAAGTCTGCAAACCTAGAACCACCTCACTTGAATTACTCACCCCCAGCCTCTGTTTCCCTTGATATAAAAGAGAAAAATATCTCCTCTGCGTACTTAAACCACATTGTTAAGCAGATTCAATAATATAACATGTGAATGTCTTGTGCAAAATATAAAATGTAATGCACATGTTTGAATCATCACCCGAGGAATCTTAAAGATCAAAACATTTGTAAGCTGCTTCAACAGACTCCACAAACCAGATCAACTTATCTAGGTGGCAAAGACAGGGACTCAGACTCTAGCCACAACAAGTCCGCCACGCAGACAAGCTCTAAAACCAGATTCGAACTGCCACTGCTATAGGGCCTATGATCCGGGCTCCGATTCTACAACTGCAGTTCTCAAAGTCCTCCCTCGACCGCTGCATCAGCTCCATCAGAAACTTAGGAGAAATGCAAACCCCATATCCTATGTTCTGGAGTCAGAACCACCAGAGGTGGGGCCCGACATCTTCAAGATTTTATTTATTTATTTTTAGGGGAAGGAAAGAAACATCAATGTGTGGTTGCCTCTCAAACACCCCCTACTGCAGACCTGGCCTGCAACTCAAGCCTGTGCCCTGGCTGGGAATAGAACCAGTGACCCTTTGGATTGCAGGCCAGCGCTCTATCCACTGACCCACACCAGCCAGGGTCCCAACAATCTGTGTTTTAACAAACCCTCCAGGTAACTCACACTAAAGCTACAGGACTAGTATCCCAGAGACTCTAGCAAAAAAAGAACAATTAGCAACTCCAAAAACGATAGTTTTAACATTCCTACTACCACGCTGATGTTTAAGTTCGAATGCTCCTGGCCTTACGTAAACCGGAACAAACAAAAACATTAATTCCTTTCATGAGGACATTTCAATTTCACACGTTTATATGCCAGGGAAGTCAGGCTTGTCTGATACTTTAAGATTCTAAAAAAGTGCCCTGGCTGATGCAGGTCAGTGGATTGGGCGTGGGCTGGGACCCAAAGGGTCACCGGCTCGATTCCCAGTCGGGGCACATGCCTGGGTTGTGGGCCAGGTCCCTGGTGCGGGGCGTGTGAGAGGCAACCACACACTGATGTTTCTCTTCCTCTCTCTCCCCTTCTCTTCTCCTCTCTCTAAAAATGAATGGGTAAAATCTTTTTAAAAAAAGATTCTGAAAAAGTGAACATTTTGAGGTTTTTAGGGCAGGGAGCGTGCCATGTTCACTGCCACCTCCAAGGTCTGAGTGCCCCCCACCTGCTGACACTCCGAAGTGCAGTTGAACAAATGCAAAACGAACAACCAATGGAGTGACACAGATGAATCAAACACCTTGTCCCAGGTCACACAGGTAGTTAGTGGCTGAGTCAGGACTTTGAGACACGGAAGGACCACCCTTGACCAAGTTTTCGTGAAATGAGCTGAACCTGGCTGACCCATCCTGCTAAAACCCCACAAAAATACCCTGCTCGCCCTGACCAACGTAGCACAGTGGGCTGGGCACTGTCCCGAGGAGCGAAGGGTGGCTGGTCGCTTCTGGGTCAGGGCACAAGCCTGGGTTATGGGTTCAGTCCCCGGTCAGAGCACATACAAGAGGCAACCGTTCGATGTCTCTCTTTCACATCAATGTTTCTCCCCCTCTTTTTCTCCCTCTCTTCCCCTCTCTCTAAATTTTTAAAATCTTAAAAAATTTTTTTGCTCTACTTCCCCAGCATTTTTGAAGAGACACATGCTAACGATGCTCCGGTCAATTGAACACTAAAGGAACTGGAGACTGGTTGCAGTCTCCAGTCTGTGACCTTAACCCTGACCAGTGAGTGGTAAATGGCAATTCAGTTACTAGCTAAAAATAAACTTCAGGCCAAACCTCCTCACCCCACCCACTAATCAGGAGTTCTAAATTCCTAAAAGGGAAAGAGGGTCAGATGGCACGGCCTCCTTCGTGGACTCTCTGTGATGGAAGGATGACAAGAGCACCCCCCCAGAGGGTCTTTTGTCCGTGGGCTTTTCTGGGACCCCTCAACAGAACCTTCTGGTAGGTTCTTAATTGCTGACCTCTTCCCCAGAGAATGAAGAGCGGCTACTCCACTTCTACAGGGATTGAAACAAGAAGTCCTTGGTGATTGTGGAGAACTGAAGCAAAGGTCAGACTTCATGAGGGGCCTTTGCAAACCTCCGAGTTTAACACCAGACTAAGGGTGGACCACAAGTCAGCGTTCTTCTCAAGTGTCACAACCAGTCTTCTTCGCATTGTTCCTTCACGGGAAAGGGAAAGGATGCCTGTTTGTCAACGGGACCCTGAACGAAACTGGTATGTACGGCATCTCCCCGCGCTGGCGGCCATAGGGGACGGGGCTGCACACAGGCCAAGGGCCACAGATACCCCAGAACCTCTAAGCCCTGGGCTCCTGGGATCGGAGGCAAATCCAAATGCCTGGATGAAAGAATGCACAGGGTAGGGAGAGGAAATGGGATGTATTTTCCTTCCCTCTTCTTCCTCCCCAAACATGTTTTTATAGATTGCCTTGCATGTCTCTCTCTCTCTCTCTCTCCTGAGCTCAGTGGTCAGCTCAAAAACACCCCTCAGGGCGTAAATGTTTAAAATCCTCAGAGAAGCACACGGGGCTTTGAGTCAAAAAGTACTGAACCCGCCAAAGGTCCCTCATAGGTATCCTGTCAAATATAATGGCACATCTGGATTTCAACCTTGCTTATCTTAGCTCCATCCCTCCTACCCACTCCTTTATGTTTTTGTGCCTCTCTTTCTGCATGAGGCTAAGTTCTCTACTCAGAGACTTTTCTCAGGTCAGATACCCTTCTTTAAACAGCACTCTCTGATTTTCAAGTTAATATTTCCTATGGATGAGAATGTTAATTATCTGCCATTGTCTCTATCTTTCTTCCAAGTAATAGCAGCTCCCAAGTTTTGTGGACACCTGGTTACCCACACAGAAACTACATTTCCCAGCCTCCCTCCCAGCTAAGTGTGACCACGTGATATGCTCTGACCAGAGAGATGGGAGCCAATATGCTGAATACAATGTACGGGTCGCATCTTTTAAAAAGGAAACTGCCTCCCTTCCATTTACTTCTGCTCTCAGACCACTGGGCTACCTGCCTGCCTACATCCAAGGCAAGACCAAAAGTTGGCCGTTTTCTGTAATGGACCAGATAGCAAGTAAACATTTTAGGCTTTACAGACCATTCAGTCTCTGTAGCAACCACTCAACTCACACTTGTATCAAGAAAGCAACCATAGGCGATATGTAAATGAATGAGTGTGACTGTATTTCAACAAAACTTATTTATAAAAACAGATGGCAGGCCAAGTTGGTTCACGGGCTGATATTTGATGACCCCTGATTTAGACCATCAAGTAACAGTGAAATAAAATTATATTTTATTTGAATCACTAGATTTTGGGGTCCCCTTGTTACAACGGCTTAGCCTGTAACCTCAACCAATATACCGTCATTTTTCCAAAACCTTCATTCAAAGCTCACCTCTTCCAGGTGGCCACCATGATGGAAAGTATCAATTAGTCCTACTGCATCTTTGGATACAGTTGCTCAGATGCAGTTGCTTCGGATCACACTTGCTCAGACAGGGCTCCCTAGCAGACTAGGAGAGGTGGTACTCCAGACTCAAATTCTTATAAAACTTCAAACGGGAAGGAAACGGCTGGAATCTTTCAGGTCACTCAATAACACCCACTTGTTGGTGCAGAGCCCTGGTGCTAACTTCGAGTTTTTCCCGGTCCCTCCTCCGGTATATCCGAGACACAACACTGTCAATTATGTATTCTTCTTGCTCCGTACACCGAGGAGCCCTAACTTACCTCGGGCATAAAGAAAGGGTCATTCTGGATGAGAAGCACTGCTAATTCTTCTTGGTTCAGTCCAGAGATCTGATGTTGCTCCAGAACTTTAAAGTTCTCTTCTGAGAGCACTTCGTGAGAATATTTGCATAAATTCCTGAAAGAAAATGGCAACCGTCAGTACTTCCAACTGAAAGGAAGACATGAACAAAAGAAAAAGAGAGAAAGGAAAAGAAAAAAGAAATCCTCCAGCAAACTTTCAGTCATCAAAGATCAAGACCACACCCTTTGATTACCAATACAGACTGATCCTGCTTAAAAGGTACACTTTAAAAATAGATCACCCTGGCTGGTGTTTCTCAGTGGATTAAGCACAGGCCTGTGAAGCAAAGGGTTGCCGGTTTGATTCCCAGTCTGGGCACATGCCTGGGTTGCAGGCCAGTTCCCCAGCAGGGGACACATGAGAGGCAACCACACACTGATGTTTCTCTCCCACTCTTTCTCCTTCCCTTCCCCTCTCTCTAAAAATAAATAAATATATTTTTAAAAATTACAAAAACAAAAATAAAAATATACACTGATGAAACAAACACCTAGATGGGGGAGAGAGGGCTGTATTTTTCACATCTATACTTTACATGATGGCAACACTTCCTTAAACGGTATCTCCTCTAGCACACATTAACAATGTGAGAAGAGTAAAAAAATTAGCAAAGAAACTCAAACCAATTTATTAGAATCATTGCCCATTGACAGCCAAAGAATAATCAGAACAACAACACAGCTACGGACTGACAAGCAAGTCAATGAGAAACCCGAAATCCACTTATCAACGATTTTAATTACTGGAAATTGTTCACTGCTTTATCTCGTCTTTGTCTTACACACCGATGTATACCTGTGTGACTCGTGACTGCAAAGGAACAGAACAAGCTCTTCATTGTCTACATCAAACAGCTCTAGAGAAAGAGATGATAACTCCCTTCCCATTAAAGCTTTGGTAACTTAGATCAACACTATCCTGCCAAAAGAACTTTCTATGATGGTGGAATTGCTCTCTCATCAGAACTTTCCAACACAGAAGTCCAAATGCTTACGGAGCACTTGAAATAGAGCTAGGTGGGCTTGGGAACTGAATTTTCTCTTTTCCTTTAATTAATCTGCACTTGCAAAGCCACATACCTTGTGGCTACCATACAGAACATTAGATCTTGCCTCTCCAAAGTGTGGTGGGAGAATCAGCAGCACCATAATTACCTGAGAGCTTGTCAGAAATTTAGACTCTCCTGCCCTGGCTGGTGTGGCTCAGTGGACTGAGCGCCCGGCCTGAGAACCAAGAAGTTGCTGGTTCAATTCCCAGTCCCGGCAGATGCCTGGCTTGCGGGCCAGGTCCCTAGTAGCAGGCACGTAAGAGGCAGCCACATGTCAGTGTTTCTGTCCCTCTCTTATCTCCCTCCCTTCTCTTCAGTCTCAAAATAAATAAAATCTTTAAAAAAGAAAAGAAATTTAGAAACTCCGACCCTACCCCACTCCTGATGAATCAAAACCTACCTTTTAACAAAACCCCCAAATGATGTAATCACATTAAAGTCCAAGAGGCACTGATTTAAAATATTTTACTTATTTAAAAAATATTTTATTTACTTATTTTTAGAGAGAAGGGAAAGGAAGGAGAGAGGAAGAGAAACATCAGTGTGTGGTCCTGTCTTGCACACCGCCTACCCAGGACCAGGCCCACAACCCAGGCATGTGCCCTGACTGGGAATCACACTGGCGACCCTTTGGTTCACAGGCCAGCACTCCATCCACTGAGCTACACCGGCCAGGGCCAAGAGGCACTGATTTAGATCACTGAGAAGTCCAGAGAGCACTGATGTCTTCATCAGACAAGCAGAGTTTGACAGTTGTCAGTGTCCACATAAGACACTCATTCCACATTGTACATTTTAACAGACATACGCCATTCTAAAGTATCGCCTAAGTCCTCAGATTTATGATTTTAAGTTATTCATGATGGAATATTCATATTTTCTACTTTGCAAAGCCACTATTCAATTGTCAGGCGGTCAGGTGATGGCCAGATTTTCACTATAGAAACCGTGTGGCTACAACCACCTTTGTACATAAAACCTTTCTCTCTGACCCGTTCTTCTCCTGGGAAGAAGAACTGTGTCCCCAAAGGACACAATTATTTTCTCGGCAGCCTGTGTTTCTCCAGAAAACATACCCATGTGTGAGTGTGATTATTTCCCTACAAGCACATTGACATTGTTTTATTATTTTGCTTCTTCACTAGGTAGGAAATACTTGTATTTTTAATTTGCACTTAATAAGTAAATCTCTGCCTTTATTTATCTTGTTCCATTTTCATTATTGAGAATTAAAAGCTTTCTTTTCATAGTTCTTTCATTTCCTAAAGTTCAAACCTTTATGTGTTGCCAGTATTATTTTTTACTTCATTGTTACAAGTAAACGGAAATGCAACTGACTTTGCGAAATTATCTCATTGAAATTGATCATTTGTTTTTAAATGTAAACTAAATATTAACCTTTTGAAAGTCATTTATTCACATGCTGCCGCCTGTGTGGAAGGCATTTCTGAAGCCCCGCCCCCGGAACCGCCTTCAGATCCAGCTGTGCAGCCACCTTGAAACCAGACCAGCCCTCCCACACATCTTCCCACAGGGTCAAGGGCAGCTGGTCAGGCTCTGGCGACAGCTCTTTCCCAGCCATTTTCTCCTGTGGCCCCAGCTTTTCGTGTTCCCGGCACTCCCTGATAAGGCTGACCTGCATCTCTGCTGGCTTTCGGGTTCTGGGCTTCCAGATAACTGTCCCCCCCAGCACCCCCCACCCCCCAGGGCCCTCAGCAGCTGGGCTAAGACTCCACCTTATCACTCCCCCAAGCCCCATGGGAGCGGGGACCTGAAGAGAACCTACCTACAGCTGGGAGAGCCCAGTCTCCAGCCCCAAACAGAAAGCCCTTCCACACCAGGTACATGTGTGAGCCTCATCACCTCTTAAGGCATCTCAGTCACTGGCCATGGTCGTGAATGATCCCCTGGATCTGGGGCTGAAAATGATCTGGACCAAACGCCCCACCACTAGCTAGACAGAATCTGCCCTCCGGCTCCGAGGTAACTAATCAAGTGTTAATCAGAGGGAATTAAGAATCTTCGCTTTTCCTTTAGCTCCTATCCAGACATCCTGAACATGGACCCAAGGCCATGGCACCTCTCCTGTGGCCAAATCAGGGTCCCAGAAGAGGACCCAGCCCTCTCCAGGTCCCAGAGAGATTCCACTCTGGTCACACCTGTGTCTGTCCTGTCCTAACTGAAGAGCGGGGCATTTCCAAGGTCCCCGAAGTCAACATTTCCTCTAAATAACCAAAGGCAGCCAGGCAGCCTAACGAGGGTCCCACTGCCTGAACGCAAAGGAGGAGGCTCCCCGGCCTCGGCCCCTCCAACCCCCGCACCCCCAGCCCACCCTGTCCCCGAGCAACACGCTGCCCAGCTGAGGGCCCAGTTTCACGTCTCATTTCCCTTCTCCAAGCTGCTGGCTCCTCTAGATCATGCCGTACGCACACCTTGAACCCTGCCTCAGTCTGCAACATCTGTGTCTACCTGTGGTCTCTGACCGGCAGCCCCCTTCCGTCTCCCCACATTCCTTAGACTCCTCCCAACTTCTCAGCAGCTTTACCTCTGCCCTCATTTCAGCATATTGATCACCCGGGAGGAGGGGGGCAGAGTGCGCGCTCACCTATTTGGGAGAAGACCAGAAGCACAGAAACTAACATTTATCACGTATTTACTAAAGGACAGGAACTTTGCGCCCGCCATTTGATTTAGTCATCGCAATAATCCTGTGAGGCAACAGTTCACTTTTTACTTTGGGAATCCGAGGCTGGAGAAAATGAGAATTCAAAGGTGACTCAAATAAGATCTGATCACTGAACCCAGGTCCCAAAAAACGCAAACCAAAAACAAATCTGGAAAAACAAAAACAGACATCTGAAACCTCTCCAAATCAGAAAGGAAAAAAAGAAGCCATTCTGGATTACTTAAACATTGTTCCCCTGGACTACAGGGAAAACTGAGAGCAGAGTCCCAGGAGACAGAATGCGTGCAAACCACGTAAACAGCGTCGCAGGGACACCGTACAGGATGGAAACTCTTTCTTGTGACTGGTGTGGAGGAGGCAAGCTCAGCAGCTCGGGACTCGGTTAGGGGCCAACGGCTCCGTGTTTGGGTTTAAGGTGGCAGAAGCTTCCTTTTCACTTTCTTCTGATCGCTTTGTCTCAGCTCCGGCTGCAGCTCCAGCTCCCTAATACTGGCTAGGATGCTTGAGCCAAGAAATGATGTGACATTCTTCCCCCCGGGCTACTTGGGCTTCTCTGAGCCACTGGCTCTGAAACTGAGGTCCCTGGGCAGACATCACCTGGGAGGCTGTCGAAATTCCCAGACCTGGCAGGTGTGTCTCAAACTTTTGTCCACATCAGAATCCTCTAGAGGGTTTGTCAGAATGCAGATTGCTGGGGCCCCCCTCCAGTTTCTGATCAGTTGGTGCGGGGGGAGGGCCTGGGAGTTGGCATTTCTAACCAGCGCCTGGGAGATGCTGAGGCTGCTGGTCCATTAAGTACTAGGTTCAAGGTTCCCTTCTCCAACAAAGGACAACAGCACCACAGAAGGTTGGTGGGTAATCCCGCAGAAGCACCACGGGACTCCCCACCTTCTGCAACAGTCAAGAGCTTGCCTATGAGACCCTAGGAACTAACTGCCCAGGGAAAAGAAGTGTTTACAGAACGCTGCCTACGCTTGGAGTAGATAAACTCCAGTCCAAACAGCCGGAACTGGGGTAAAAGATAGCCTTTAAAAATGGCAAAGATGGCCTTGGAAGATGCAGACTTGTCTCTCTCTCAGGAATCTCACGCCAGAAGCTTCACTACGAGTGAGCTTTTCCCTTGGTTCTTCCAGCCACAGAACAAAATGTTATTTTAACTCTGGCACTGCATCCTCCCCCACCTGGGATGGGGCCTAGGCTGGGGGTGGCCGGCATCCCTGGCTACATCTAGTAATCAACGGGGGAGTGTGGACCGAAACCAGGCCACGTGTTGACCCTGACTGTGCTCCCGGAGGACTGCGTGGCAGCAAGTTAAACCTT